ATCCTTGCAAACCATTTTTAGTTTTCCTTATCTATAGTTCCAGACTGAGAATGCACAAAATAAACATGTCTCATCACACACTGTTACTTTTTGCCACTCTACCTCAGATAATGACTTTAGGTCATCCATCACATTTTACCTGTGTAAGTTCTTAAACATATCTGAATCAGTTTCAGTATTGTGTTGGTTGTACTTGAAGATCAGCAGTGCTACAGATAATCTGTGATACAAAAACTACACGAAGCTTCTAGCTTCATACTATTGAAATGCAATATTTGTATTTTCTTACCAGTTTTAAACAGAAAATATTGGACAATATTGAAAAGTTAAGATTGATGCATTTAAATAAATATCGTTAATTATGTCACCTGCCAACATCTTTTATTTTTAAACTGTAAAGAATCTAAAGGAATGTTTATGTTCTATTGTAAATGCACATATTTACATGGAGGGAAATAACACTCTGTAAAGTGCCTGTAGCTTTTAAATGGGATGTTCATTGTATTCAACTAGGGATGTATGATCTAAGTACCTGCTTACGTACTGAGACCTAACACTTCAGTAGGTTATAAAAGCCTCTGCCTTAATGATTGAATTTCTTTTTAGTTTGACTCAAATAGGAAGCATTAATTACAAATGTTAATGCAAAAATTATTTTAATTTCTATAAACAGAACATGCAAAATACCGGGAATCTATGTAAAGTGCTTCACAGTGGGCAGAGTTTTAGCATTAGTCCATTATATCTGCAGAATGCACTGCACTTGTTGATTTGAGATTATCGTCACACAGATAATTAACAATGGCCTGGTTGATTCTCAGCTCTTAAAACAAGGCATGGCTCAAAATAAATGCCTTCTCTGGCTGCTCTGCTAAGTAAGTTTATTAGCCAGATATGTAGGTTAAGATGCTAAAAATTTCCTTTTCTAATTACCTTTTCCATTTTTATGTTAATTCAGATCATTTTACAATCAGGCACATCTTTTCTTGTAATCAAAGCATGGGGAATGCTGTTCTTCACATCTTGCATGAGAGTCCTTGCAACACTGTATTCCAGAGAGCATTTTCATCTACTCTTTCAGACATTCTCTCATATTCCCAGAATAAATAGGTGGACCTATTGAAATGTCTTACCAAAGATTCTGTTTTTCAATAAAATGAAAGAATAAATGAATTACAGTTTGTTTTGGTATTTTGCTCCTGTTATCTGTCTGGAGATTGGATTCTGTGGCATCTGAACAGCTTTGAATACCTTCTGAATTTGGGAGCAAAAATAATCTCTTTTTATTATGTGTGTTTATGAACTTAATATTTACTTCATCCCAGCTTCACATAAATGAAAATTCCAGTAGTGTGCCTGCAAATTCTTTGCAGAGAGAGAACATGTGCAGACATGCAGTGTAACTGATGAGAAGCATTTCTTTTTTTAAGGAAGACAGATTAAAAGCTACAGAGTTCAAAATGTGATTGTATTAAATAATGTACTAATCAGTAAGTAATACTTCTGTATTTTAAGGTTGCAGTAGGATGAGTTAGTGTGATGCACCATTAGTAATAAATGCATCCTTTTCTGAAAATAAGCCAGGTTTTGTTAACTGATTTGGGGTGATACATAAATTGATATAACAAGCTAGAAGATATTTCATCTCATTTTAGACTTGTTGGAAATACAGAAGAGTGACTTAAAAGCTAGTTACCTGCACCTTTTGCATCATACAATTAATGACTTCAGAGAAAGCCTTTTGTAATGTAGGTGTAGTGATTTTGGATGTTCTGTCCAACACCCGATGTTTTGGAGAGCTTGACTTTTTGCCACATGGAGAGAAATGATTTATGATTATGCAAATTATGGGATTGAAATCTCCACATGGGGTCATATTCAGGGGGCAGCTGCTGCTTTTACTTACCATAAGCAAGAATAATTGGTGCTTTGGAACTGTACTTGCCTCACAGCGTGCTCCCCGGATTTGGGAAGAGAGAAATCCCTGCTTCAACGTATGCTTAATTGCCTTGCTGTCGAAAGATATAGGTGCCTGAAAGGCTTGAACATAACCTTTAAATAAACTAAATAATAACAAGTAAATAATTTGTTAACCAAGTAGAGGACAAAATGGTAAATAAATTCACAGATATGGTCAGTTATCCCTTCTGGTGATATTGATAGAATAATAGTACATAAATTAGAATCTATACATTTAGCCATGATTTTTCTGTGGATTAGTTTTCAAATAGTAGCTTGGAAAAAAATTTGAATTAAATATTACATGGAATGATCTAATTCTAGTTGCTGTTGAGCCTATGAAAACTGTTTCAGAGTGTTCATATAGCTCAGAATTTTTAGCTAGAGATGTGTCCTGAGTGGAATTTTTTCCTGACTTCCATGGAGAAGGCTTAGTTCCTTTGATGCTAAGTGTACTTTGTTTCTGAGTTAATCTGAGGCTGTAGGGAGTATGTACTGCAGTTTCTGACTAACTTTATAATTTGTACCTTAATAAACCAAAGAAAAGCATTTTAAATATAAGGTTGTTGGAATAACACATAGAAGAGAAGGATGAGTCCTGTTTTATAGTCACCTCCCCACCCTGCATCTGTGGCCAGCTCTAATCACAGAGATAGGTTGTGAGCCCAAATGGACTTTTTCTTCCCAGTGATAAAGGTGTTTCACCTGAAGGCTCTGATTCTGCAGGACATCTATTCATGCTGGAATATTCATTTGTATTTGCATGAAGATAATTCATTTTGTCATAACTCTATTTTGAGTTTGAGTCCAATTGCATAGATCTTCTTGCAAGATAAAAACTTCATTTGCAAGTTGTTAAGCTTGAATAATGGGTTTAATTAAAAATTGCCATCACTATTGGGATGGAGGGGCTAGTTGTTTAATTTCAAACTGGCTAAGATGTTCACGAGCAAGAATGCTGATAAGCTGTGTCTCAGATTCAGCCTATTGCATGTAGGTCTTTTATGTCTGATTTCTGTCCTTTTTCTGGCAATCTCTTTTAATAGCAACAACTAGGTATCACATTAATATGATTCTTTCCAAATACTAAGTTACAAAACCAGGAAACAAAAATAAACCTGTTGCTACGTTCTTCTTTGATACATGTGGATACTTGGGTTTTGTATTGTCAAATGTTTAAGTAGCAAATAGCCAAGATGCTTGAAGGTCTGGGCTGAGATTTGTAGAAGTAACTGGTGGTCACTTGCAGATTACTGGAGCACTGGAGATTTGCAGAAGTGACTGGTGTGTCACTTCTTGGATGCTTCTCTTGGTGTCTTTGTAGGAACTGATTTTTCTTTTCTTTCTGGTTTTTTTTTTTTTTTTTAAATTTGTTTTGTTGCTTTATTCTTTGCTTATTTGATGTGCTTGTGTTGTGTTAGACACTCCAAATGGCTAGTTACCTTGGAACCCTCACATTGTACCTTTAGGTAAAACGTGAACATTGAGCTTTTAATAGAAGCCTTTTTGAGAAAACAAAATAATAGATGGCAATGTTACTGTTTCATAGGAAGCATTCTAGAAATGTAATTATTGGGGATGTCAGTGTAATTTTTTCCTTTTTGTCCCTTCTGCTTTCTTTTAAGAAGATCTTTAGTCACTGTAGAGCAAAACGAGGGAGAGAAAATGTTTTCTTTAATGTGGTAAAAAATCCTCAGATTGGGCTCCAGTGTTACAGTTAATAAATGCTGGAGTGGTTGGGTGTGGTGAGTGCTGTGGTGGCCCCTCTCTGTGATTTGGCTGGGATCCTTGGCAAGCTGCGGATGCCTTTGGCCTGCAGAGGGGAAGGATTGGCCGTCTACCGCAACAGGCTTTTGTCTAAGTGGGCGAACCAGCACCATTTAGATGCTAATGTGATAGAAGCTCGCTGTTTTGTACTAGAACTTGACTGCATCTCAGGAATGTGGCCTGTCTGGTTTTATGTTGGCTTAGGCATTAAAAGGGCCTACTGTAATTCATGTCTGCCAATCGATTAACAGCTTTGATGTGCCAAAGGAAATTGTTGGGTTTGGTGGAGAATAACATGCTTTTTTTGGTTCTCCCAGATCTTACCTGCTGATCTGTATGCTTTTTGTTTGCCATCTACAATTAGGGAATAAAGTAAATGTAACCTTAATGATTCTGTGATTCTGTGAAATTTGCTATGTAAAGCCATATATGACGTTATCTTTACTGACTGTATTGAACCTTTTTTTTCCTGTTCATGTTTGTTGTATGGTGGGGTAACTAAATGCTATATTGTGCCTTTCTGCTTTTTTTTTCAAATGTGGAATATATTTCTATATTATTACTAGAAGTGTGACAGGTTTCTATTGTTAGGCCATTTTCTGGTTCAATGGAATATGAATTCTGGTTTGTGTTTTAGAGGTGGTGAATAAATTATTAACCTTGGCATAAAAGGGACTTATAATAAATTTAAGTTCTAGTTTCCATGTCTTAGCTTCAATTTGCTGTATTTTCTGCAGAAAAAAAAGGCTGTGTGTATCGTGCAAACACAAGTGTAAAAGTAGCCCTGGGAATAAAATTTTTGTAGGTCTGTTTTGTATGTGAACACGGTACTAATCAGATTTTTATGCTGCACTCCATACATATTACTGTTGAATAATAAAACACTGTTTATTTTGTTCTCTTCATACACATCCATTCTTTTAGATTTTTTTTTTTTAAATGTATTGAATGATAAGTTTCTTCAAGATTTTGTTACTGTATTAGGTGAAATGTGGAGGGAGCACAGGGGAGGAAAACTGTAAATCTAGTTGGACTCAGCTAGCAATTACTTTAGCGGATAAAATATGCAAATATCTCCTGAGCACTCTTAAGGCTGGTCTTTCAGGCACGACTGTCTGTATCCCTAGCCAAAAAAGGACATATGATAATTAGATTTTGAAGGACCATGTGCTGTTGCTACAGAGCTAAATATTAAAATGCAAGAAAGCAGACTACCACATGGCACAATTGATTTTTATGGCAGTTCATGTTAAAATGCTCTCTTTTTATATTGCCTTTTAGGTTACCTAGGGTGAAACAAAATTAAAGGCTTGGAGACTCTGGAAAAGCTCAGCATCAGCATTTGAGGTAAAAACGAACATACTGAAGTAATCTTGGGAGAGTCGTTAACTTTGTGCAACTGATTTGAGTAGAAATTTTCATCAAGATCCATTTTGCATTTAAGTTGTCAGTATTTATCTTTTAAAAATTGACTTCAGAATCTGTCTTTTTAGGTCTGGAAGAACTCATACTATAGGTGAAGATGTAGATCTATTTAGATTTTTGTTTTGTTTTATAGTATAGCTAAGATATCTACAAAGTTCTTTGTTGTGTCTTTCCTAATTTTACTTATATAGCTAAATGTATTTTTCTACAAATCACCATCTTAATTGCACAATAATTTAACTTTTATTTAAAAATACATGTATTTAGGAAGAGATGCTTATTGCTTTTTCATGAGTTTACTCTATTAATTGCATTTTGTAGTTCATAGGTTTTGTTGTTTTTGTTTTTAAGAGCCGAAGCTTGAAAATTATGTGATTAATCTACAAGCTGGTATAATGATGTCAAAATGCAGTTTGGGAAGCATAAAAACAGAGACTGCAGAAATTAAAACGGTAAGACTATGCTTTGTAGCATGAGAGAAGAAGGTTTTTATGTATCACTTCACTGTATTCTCCTGTTTTGCATTTAAAACTTCTTATGGACCTTAAGCTAACTTCCATGTGTGAGGCTATAGAAATTACTGTGAATTTCTTTGGAAAGAGTAATGAAAGTGGCTACAGTTAGATACAGGGGTTAGATACATAGATAAAGGTGTTTGTCATGAATTGCATGCTTTGATATTTCTTATGAAGCTGAATATGTTTAGAAATTTATTTTTTTAAAAAGGAATGATGTGTGTGTTTAAATGTCTTGTGGGTTTTATATTTAAATGTTGTTGTATTGGTGAAATACAATCAATTTTTTTTTAAAAAGGGGGAAAGAGGAGATATGAAGGATTAGAATTAGAATTTAATTTATATGTTGTTCCAGATAAGAGATACAAAGTAAATGGTGAGGAAAGTAAATTACAGGTAAATTAAGGCCTTAGTTTCAGTAATGTGCTTCAGTTGGAATCATGAGTTCAGCAAAAACAGAAGAAGCTATCAGACTAAATTTGTGTAGAAGAAAAATTGTTATGTAGTTTGATAACATAGGGAAGGCAGAATATTTCAATACACTGGTCCTCACCTTGCATTGCATCTTAGGTGCCACACACTACACATTTTGTCTTTTGTCCTATGGTTTAAGGAGGTAAAAGGACTGTATAGCACCAGTTTTGCACGACTGATTAAGCAAGCTATATAGTCAGGACTGTTCCACAGGTCATTATAGACATCATTTAGTTTGTTCCAGAATCTGTCTGCATGTATGTATTTGTTAAAGGAAAATCATCCCCCTTCTAACCGTATGTACTGGTTCACTATAGATAGGCTAGAAAACTGAGGTTTGTTTTCACTTTTTATTTCTGTACTGGTAAGTGTCCTACAGCCCTTGTATGTTATGCTGAGACATTGTGGTCTAATTCTTTTGCTTTAGAAACCCTTAAAATGTATGGCATTGTTACTTTGGTGTGAACTGTATCTTGCTGGCTCTGTTGATAGAGCTAGATTGATAGCAACAAAGGGTGTTTTTATTAGGCTTTTGCCTAAAATCCAGGTTTGGTCAAACTGGTGACTGAACACTAGGTGAAGGGCTTAAGGGTTGTGTGTTTGTTTGACTCTGCTAAGTGTCATGTCTCTTCCTATATATGGTAGTTTAGGAGGAGTCTGCCAGGAATTCCAGCTGTTAACTATACTGCATTTCTTGTAGGAGTGCTGTAGAATAAAATGTAGAGCCTCAATGTAATCTTCATTTAATAAGCCTTTAATGAGGTGCTGGAGAGAGTCCAAAGAAGTGCAGTGAAGCTGATGAAGGGTCTGGAGAACAAGTGTAATGAGGAGCATCTGAAGGAACTGATGGTGTTTAGCCTGGAGAAAAGTAGGCTGCAGTGGGATCTTATTGCTCTCTATAACTACCTGAAAGGGGGTCGTTGCAAGGTGAGATTTGGTCTCTTCACCTTTGTCGCAAGCAGGAGAACAAGAGGAAATGGTCTGAAGTTGCACCAGGGGAGGTTTAGATTGGATATTACAAGAAACTTCTTCACCAAAAGGGTTATTAAACACTGGAATGGTCTGCCCAGAAAGGTATTTGATTCAGCCTCCCTGGAGGTGTTTAGAAGACTTAGATGTGGTGCTTAGGAATGTGGTTTAGCACTGAACTTGGTAGAGTTAGGTTAATGGTTGGTCTCCAGGATTTTAAAGGTCTTGTCCAGTCAGAGCAGTTCTGTGATTCTGTGACACTTCTGAACAGCCCGTTACCAAAGGCTAATTTTGCTGCTTTGGTGTGTTTTGGTGAGCTAGTAGAGAAGACCAATGTTCTGCTTTTGCTGTTAGACTTGTTCTTTTCCAGAAAAATACAACTAATTAAATTCTTCTAGTTCAAAATGAACATTCACAGTGAATATTGATGATTGTACTAGGGAAACCAGGGAAGCTGGTTTTTATAGGAATGCTTGCAATTGAGCTTTGTAAGCGTTTATGCATTCTGTTTACCCTCCTTGAAAGGAAACCAATCTTAAATATGTTTTTTCGGGTTTTTTTCCCCTTTTAAGAATATTATATGATCAAATATAAAAGCTGCTGTTAGGCTTTGCATATAAAGGTATTTGAAGGATAGCAGTCAAAGAGTGACTCATGCAGCTGTTTACTATGTCAAAGATAGCATAATATAAGATTTCTGAATGATAGTGTTTGACAGTATTTTCTTTCTTTAAACCTTCCTTCTGCACCGAATAATGTAATTTAAAAAGTTTGCATTTTGAGTTGGGTGTAGAAATCTCAATGATATTGAGGATACTTTGAACATTAATCAACTGCAAAATGAAGGGTTTTCCCATGAAAATGGAACTTTTTCACTTGTTTCTGAGATGTCTGAGTTTTGGGCTTTTTTCTTGCAAATTAAAACTGGGTGTATTTGTTTTGGATTTTAAGTTCACTAAAAGAACTGAAGTTACAGGAATAATATTCACAAAATAGGCTTTTGTAATGCTTCTGAATTATCAGAGGAAAAGTAAAATCCTTTTAAAAGGTATACTTTTAAAATCAAATTGAGAAATCAGATGATGTAGGAATCTTGTGTGTTGACTTTCACTTAAGCAAAATCAATTCTTGCCAGTGAATGACTGTAGTGTAAGAAGTCATCACTTTACTGTAGACTTCTGCAGTTACTGGTGTAGAATGTCCTCAGTGAATATTTTACATTTTGTAGGTTAGCATTTACATTCATTTTCTACTTTGTATTTTACATTGGTGCTATTTTACGGTTTTCTTTTTATTTATTCTTCCATTACCTAAGTATGAATTTTCTGTGCTAGATCTTTCAGCAACTTAATGCTTCATGTAGCATTTGGACATAAAACTTACTGTAAAGAAAGTGATATTCAGACTTTAGGTGTTCATGTCACAGAATATTCAAACAGCAAGATTCTATTAATATTTTTATTTATAGATTGTGGTGTATTTACTTTAGAGTAAGTGGAGTTTTTTTCCCCACCCTTAGAGGCTAACTTTTTTTTGCTAATCCTGAGCATGTTTTTAGAGAATAAATTGGACATTCCTGGTAAAAGGTAAAAACCTACAGCATTAGAAATAATTTTGTGTTCTGGATTATGTTGTTTACGAATTTAGTGTTGGTGAAAAAAGCAGATGAAGTACACTGCATATAGCACTAGTAATTTTTTGTTGTTAATAGAAGATAATTGTATTTTTGCATTACCTTGGCATGAATATAACACATACTGGGCATGCAAATGGTGGTAAAAACTTGAAAGATTCATCACCAGGGCTCTAGTATCTGATTATTTCAGAGTGTCATTCTGTAAATGTTTTAAAACAGTCCTTGAGGCAGGGATAGATTTATAATGTCTTATTCAAGGTGAGTGCCGTACTTGGTTTGGCTTGTATTCTTCAGTGGGTTTTTTTGACATTTTTTTTTGTGCAGCAATGGACTGATTCAACTTGCATACAATCCTGTGACTGAATAACCTACACTAGAATTCCAGAATTATTGTAGACTGGAAGAAACTGCTAGGAAATGTTGCTAACTGTTCATTCTCGACCTTGTGCCCTTCTGAAAGTTTTTTATATTGTAGAACAAGGGGTTAGTTTTAACTCTGCAATTCACTGTCTGTTAACATAAACGTGTATTAAAGTAAGGACATAAAGTTGTGAATTTTGCTCTTAAAACTATCAAGATTGATAGCCATGGAACTGGACCTTACAGTATTATTTTAAAAGAACAGATAAGCTTGAACACTGCTTAGTCTAATTTCTGTAACTTAGTCTAAAGCCATAGGAACCAGGACTTGTTTCCTGTGTTTTTCCCTCCAAATTCAGCTTCATCAATTTCTTAGAGTTTCTTGTTCTATGAAGTTGCAAAATAGTGCAGAGAATAAAGGTGGAGCATCTCAGAAGGCATCTTTGTTACTGATAGTGGCTGAGCAGGACTAGTTTCTTGTGGTTCTTCGCTTCCCTGTTAGCTAGTGTGTTAGCTGGCTTCAGTTGACTTCTGCCCACAAATTCTGAACACATTTACTTCTATCTCAAATGTTTTCAATTTAAAATCTGTTCAACTAGATGTGTTTTTTCCCTTTTTATTTCTAGATGGTCCTGTACTGCTTTTCTTTTATTGAAGAACTTGATATTTTTCCTTGCTATTGAAATAGAGACTTAGAATTATGCAATTACTTCATTATTGTGGCTTATTCCTGTAATAACATTGTCATTGGTCTTGTCAGATCTTATATACTTCCAATACAAATGAAACAAACGAAGGCCAGGGCTAGGAAACTTCAATACAGCAGGAAGTAGCACTGATGGTTTAGGGAAGAAAATGTTTGGGTTTTTTTTTACCTGAGTTAGCACACAGTGGGAAAGAATTTAAGCTATTACAAGTGTGTTCTGCCTCATGCAAGGTTCAGTGTTACTGTGCTAATTGATCTTGCAGCTTATCATAGCCAAATTATCTTTTTTGTGTTTGTGTTGTTGTTTTTTTCTGGTGAGATTGCAGGGTAGTAAAGGTATGGTTAACAGTGGCAGGCAATGTTTTTCGCTTGTGTTTACTTTTCTAGTTACAAATGTGCATGCACCTCTTCCTTTGCACTTCGGAGGTTTTTTTGAGAATCCGTTTTGATCCCAATGAGACAATGGTACTTCAGGACAGTAGTTTAGTGTAGTTTAGAGTATATAGAGTTGTTTCATAGCTGGAATATGTAAGTATAAATCCCCTTGCTACTTGCAGTGGGGTAGCTAACACAGTGTCACTGGCATGAAGTGTGTAGCAAAAGAGATATGCTTATTTCTGAATATTAGATCCTATGCTCGGTTTGTTTTGGGTTTTTTTAGCAGTCTTCTCAAATAAGGTTAATTTTCATTCCTTATTCCCTCCTGGTGATGTGATATAATAGCTTTGTGTTCCCAAAGTTTTACTTATGATCTGAAAAGAAAACACAAAATAGGTTGAATAGTAAATAAAGAGGAGACACTGCTGATCTGAAGGGATTTGTAAAACTCATGTGGCTGTGCTGAGATAAAAGAATGATTGAGGAATCGACTTTAGCTTTTATTATGCAAAAACTTCATGGGTTCTAACCTTCTAACCTTGAGCAATTATGATGGCTGTGACCAGGTCTTATTTTAAACAAAGCAAGCAGTAATTGTGTTTCCTTGTTGGTTGCTATATTTAAGTAGAGAAACATGTCTGAGATCATTGCAACAAAATACTGTAGTAATTATAAAGTTGTGTTTGTCAAAATATTTTTTTTTTGTCATCAACTAGTGTTATACTCACGGGAAGATAAAAAGAGAAGCTATATTAAAAGGGAGTTTCATCTATAAGCTTGGAGGGAGGGGAGGTGGGAACGAACGCCTAACCTGTCAGTTCATATAAAAGTTTCCCTTATGTGAATTATTCTAATATTCTGTGATTCTGTGCCCAGCGTTTTCAGATGTTTTCTGCCAGTGGTTGGGGAAGATTGTGTATCATGCACATGACTGAAGCAATTTGGTTAGTCACATACTGATTAACATCAGTACAATTGATGTGCAAGTGCTCAATAGATCAGAATGTCAAGGATGATCGTCCTTTCTACATGCAACTGTGTAGCATATACAAAGCTTTCCTGCTAGTTATGTGCTGTGCCCAAACCCATGGAGTTCCAGTGGAAGGACAGTCATGAAACCACTACTTCCAAAGAGGGATTGAACCACAACATCTTTAAGTTGTGCCAGATTTGATTGCTCTATAAAGTTACCAGTTGAATTGTTAGAACAGAACCTGCATATTCTTGTATGCATTGTTTGAAATGTATAAGGACAATTTAAAAATCTACAGGTGTCTTCTTGTATTATAACTGAAATGTATAACAACATATTACTTATGATGTGTGTTGGGTATGTTTTCTATTTGCAGCTAAATAAAACAATATATTTTTGATCCATATTATCTATTTAGATAATCTGAAAGGCTCAGGCTTAGGTAGTTTAGGTTACAGGAGTGAAAAAATAAATGAAAATATTTGCCTGAGTTTGAAGAGTTATGAAAAGCAGCTCAAAAAAAGCCCCATGGATTAAATATAATGAGCATTCTTTAGTGTGTCCTGTGAAAATGTACATTTTCTCTTTTTAAGAAAACAAGCAAAACAATGAACATTTGAATTTCTGGAGTCTTCTCACCCTCATAGTTTTTGTGAAGCTGAAATTTTAATATCAGAGAAGATTCCAGCAATATCAAAATGGTTCTCCTAGTGAAGAAATACTGTTTTCAATGGAGGGGGAAGTACCTTGATTTCTGAGCCAAAGATCAGGAAGATGTGTTTACCATCTTTCACGAAGTAGCATTTACTCCTGAATGTTTGTCTTCAGAAGAGAAAGATTTCTTTATAATGAAACACAATGATGTTACTTCAATTTAACCAGGTGGCCTTCGGGAATCCCCCTATCCCTTCAGAAAAAAACTGAGACAAACCTTTATCTCTGACTACTTCCTATAAGGTGCCATTACTTCTGCATGAATCTGCAAGAGAAGTGATCATGTAATTCAATATATTGCCTTCTCTTTATTTTACAAGATATACCTGAGTTGGAAAACTAGAGTGAGTTGTTCTGATCTCTTTTGTCAGAGATTCTCATAGTTAATATTAGTTAAGTGTTTTGACATGTACAATATGTAACTTAAAAATGTGAATATGCAACAAAGAGCCACTATGTTTTATTAGTTGAAGATGATGTTAAATGACATTTCATAGAATCATAGAATCCTAGGTGTTGGAAGGGACCTCGAAAGTTCATCTAGTCCAACCCCCCTGCCAGAGCAGGGTCACCTAGAGCACATCACACAGGAACATGTCCAGGCGGGTTTTGAATGTCTCCAGTGAAGGAGACTCCACAACCTCTCTGGGCAGCCTGTTCCAGTGCTCTGTCACTCTCACAGTAAAAAAAAATATTTCTGATATTCACCTTAAACCTCCTATGCTCCAATTTGAACCCATTACCCCTTGTCCTATCACTGGTCATCACTGAAAAAAAGCCTAACTCCATCTTCCTGACACTCACCCTTTACGTATTGGTAAACATTGATGAGGTCACCCCTCAGTCTCCTTTTCTCCAAGCTAAGGAGACCCAGCTCCCTCAGCCTTTCCACTCCCTTAATCATCTTTGTGGCTCTGCGCTGGACTCTTTCAAGCAGTTCCCTGTCCTTCTTGAACTGAGGGGCCCAGAACTGGACACAATACTCCAGATGTGGCCTCACGAACTCATGTTAGTACAAAAATAAATGAGTACTTAAAAAAACCCCTTTTACTATTTTAATTGTAATCTCTCAAATTAGTTATTTCTCATAAGTATTAATAGTTAATATTCTATTCAATGCCATATAATTCTTCTTGTTTTTCTTCCCTCCTGCACATTTGCAAAAATGAATGAACTTCCCTGTGATATAGAAAAACCATGGACATTTCTATTAAATAGGATGATAATTAGGTTTTCCCTATGTATTTCTGCTGAGTTATTACATTTGAAAGCATTGTTAATTTTATGCATTTCTCATTGAGATTGATGCTAAAATGCATGTAGAGCCTTTAGGAATTCTGAGGAAAATAACTTTTTAAGACAGGCTGGATAGGGTCCAGGGAAGGGCCACAACTATGATCAGAGTACTAGAGAACCTGCCATATGAGGAAAGGCTGAGAAAACTGGGTTTGTTCAGCCTTGATAAGAGAAGGCTTCAGGGAGACCTTATTACAATGTTCCAGTACTTAAAGGGTGGCTACCAAGAAGATGGAGAGTCCCTGTTTTCAAGGAGTCACATGGAAAAGACAGGGGGTATTGGGCACAAGTTGCTCCAGGGGAGATTCAGGTTGGACAGAGGTAAATTTTTCACCATGAGGACAGTCAAACATTGGAACAGTCTTCCAAGGGAAGTGGTAGATTCCCCCATATTGGAGAGTTTTAAGTCTCAGCTTGAGCAGCATGCTGAGCCATCTCATATAAACTAGTATTACCTAGAAAGGTTGCACCAAATGATCCTTGAGGTTCTTTCCAACCTGACATTCTATGATAAACTTCTGAAAATGTTGTTTTGTTGAATAGGGTATGTAACTGATTTCAAGGTAGGGCAAGTATTGTAGTTCACCAGTATTTTTCTGTATCATCAGGATTTAATCAGTTTCGTTGGGCAAGGTAGAATTGATTTTTTAAAAATTGGTGTACTGTGGTTGTTGCAGAGAGGTAGCAAACATTTAAAAAAACTCCCAGTGATGAGGACTTCATAGCCTTAGTAGAAAAGTGTTTTCCAGTGCATAACTGTCATCAAGTTGTGAATGGTTTGTTTGTTTATCAATTAGAATATCTTTCTAGAAATTGATGGTTAACCTGATAAGGACTAATGGAGAAAGGGACACGTACCAGAGTCATCAGCATTTATTTATAATACTTCTCTCAGTTCCTTAAGCAGATAAGCTTATCAGAATATGTTGATATGGAAATAACTGATGTTCTTGTGTAGTTCCTGTACTTTCCTTGCTGATTAGAATGACGTTCCTGTTGTGTGTATGTATGTCAAACTTGACTGATCATAGGGACTTCCTGGTTGGAAAGAAAAATGGAAAATATGATACTAATTTATGCCTGTGCTCTAGTAAATATTTTTCTTTCTTGAAGTAAAACTAAAACAGCTTTATTTTTAAAAAATTGTTCTTAAAGATATTTGAATGGGATTCTGTCAGAACATAAATGGAACTTTATTCTGAAATTTATGTGTGTAAATCCAAATGCCTTTAATGAACTTTCCCCTTTAAAGAACAGCTCCTTTTGAATTTCTTTGATATTTTGATGAATACACATCTTAAAGTGGAAAAATGCCTGTAAATTTAAAACTTGGATTTTCTGCTGAAAATGGTGTGAGATTTAGCATATACTGAAAGTAAAATAATTTCCTTTTTTTAGAATAAATTTTCTTACTTTGTATTATCACTATATCTAATACTGTTTCTTTTTCTTCTCATAGTAGGCTGTGCTGGAACAAAAATGCAATGAAAGAAACACTGGATGAATGAATGAAAAGCCCTGCTTTGCAATCCCTCAGTATGGCGGGACTGCAGCTCATGACCCCTGCTTCCTCCCCAATGGGTCCATTTTTTGGATTACCATGGCAACAAGAAGCAATTCATGATAACATTTACACGCCAAGAAAATATCAGGTACTACTCATTTTTTTAATACAGTAATGTCAAAAAAGGTACAATGAAATCCATTAACTTTAATAGAAGAATCCTCAGTGCAGCTGGAAAATGTACAATGTTGCACACAGTCTAAGCATGTCTCCTTCAGAGCTCCACCTGTTGGGAGTTGTGTCTCTTTCTTTAGCTTGGCTGTGTCTTATACTTGTAATATCCCGTGCCCTCTCCTCAGTTTTCTCTAACAGGCAGAACAACTTTTAAGTTGAGTATTCTATTGCTGCTGTCTGCAAAATGCTGTTAGGGACAAATACAGTAAACATAACACTGCGCATCTCAATTAAATGCTTCTGTCTTCTACATGGTAAATCTTGATTTTTGGTTCACATACTGGTCAAAGCAGCTCAGTCATGTCAGAAATCCCATCAAAGCACTCTGATTTTCATTTTGTTAGGAAAAGCTATTCCTGAGTTCTAGAATTTCAATTCTCTTTGCATGGCAGAGGAAAGCTAACATTGTGCTGGCATTTCTGAAAAGCTTAGATCACCATGAGCAAATATACTTGCTGATTTGGCTGAAGTGCTGTATATAGGTAGATTTAAAAGCTCTACCTTCTTTCTTCATGCAGTGTGTCTAGCAACAGAATGATTTATTAAAAAGATATAGTCAGAAAGCGACAACATAGCAGCAAATTGTGATGCTGAAGGATTTTAGATTTAGAAGCTAGACTATATATAGTATGTATTAATATTTTTTGAAAGACTGAAAATACATTGTGAAAGAAATGTTAATTCTATGGAATATCTTCAGATACTATTGACTTGTCTTCAGTTTATTTACCACTTGTGTTATTTTTTTCTGTCAGTATTTTCAATACATTCCTGCAAGTAAGGGTGTTATTATTTTTTAACCTAGGTTGAACTGCTTGAAGCAGCTTTGGATCATAATACAATAGTTTGCTTAAACACTGGCTCAGGGAAGACTTTTATTGCAGTACTACTCACTAAAGAGCTGTCCTATCAGATCAGGGGAGATTTCAACAAAAATGGAAAAAGAACTGTGTTCTTGGTCAACTCAGGTAAGGGAAAAAGAATACTAATTTCCTAAATATGCTGCTAATATTTCCACAGAATATTCCTTAAAAGAAGGAATTACTTTGTGTGAAAGCAAAGTTGCAGGAAACTTTTGCTAAACTGATTAAAGAATGTGATACCTTTTATCTTTTGCTTATATTACAACCTGTTCATGGTATCTTCCATTCGTGGTTTAAAATGAAAATGTTGAATCTAAAGTGCAATTTAGTTACCCATCTCTTTCCTTGCTGTGGTCTTACATGAAGGCAGGTGCCATGTGCACCTGATGTAACATTAGCGTAAGCTTTGTTGTGAAACATGATGCTAGGTTATATGACAAGCATCTTGAAAATCAATGTAAGTAAAGATCTTTATGTGATTGAGATTTTCATTTTTTTTCTTAAGCAAATCAAGTTGCTCAACAAGTGTCAGCTGTCAGGACACATTCAGATCTTAAAGTGGGAGAGTATTCAAGTTTAGAGACAACTGAATCATGGACAAAAGAGAAGTGGAGTCAGGAATTCTCTAAGCATCAGGTAATGTATAAAGTAGAAACTATAAATATAAGCAGAGCCTACAGTTAGACTTGCTCAGAAACCTGCACTTTTCTTATGCTGACTGGTGGTTTTTTTCAATCTAGGTTCTGGTTATGACATGTCATGTTGCTTTGACTGTTTTGAGAAATGAGTATTTATCCCTGTCAAATATTAATCTTCTGGTGTTTGATGAGTGCCATCTTGCAATCCAGGATCACCCATACCGTGAAATTATGAAGGTGGGTTTCCATTGCATGAATGTTATGATTCTCAGTTAAGGAGAAGTCAGATGACAAGGCTGAAGACGTGGGAACCATTTAAGGCAGGTTTTTGCTGCCAAATAAAAATATTGGTGGAACCAGATTTTAGCATGTTACGGGACTACAAAATTACTGAAATGAATAAAGACTTCAGTAATTGTATGAGATGGAAAAATAGTGTATTTACTGTATTTTACAGTGAGGATTAAATAAAAATCTTGCACTAATACAGAAGAGAAGCTAAATTTATGGAATTATAGACATTTTGTGAATTAATTGATAAAATAGCTTAGTTTGGAAATGAGATGTGCTAATCAGTTTTTACCATTTTTAAAACACTAAACAGGTTGGTATGGCTCTTTTGGAATATTCTTAGCTCTGTGTGGTATTTGGTTTATACAGTATGAGAAGCCTGCATAGTAGATGTCTTTCCAGATCTCTCTTCAATTTTAACTGGACCATGTGTTTTGTTTTTATATAATACTTTAGTTTTTACATTACATGGAAGTATTGTGTGTTGTAAATGTGGCAAGGATGTTCTGTGCAATGCTGTTTATTTCTTTATCTTTTTCCACATTGTAGATAATTACCTTGAAATATGTTTCTTGCTAAAATGCTTTTTGATTTCTGGATTTAATTCCAGTCAATAAAATAGAAAATATTAATTCAGCATTTTGTTCCTTTTCCAACACCTGCTATTGAAATACTAGTTTCCAGTAGTTTAAGTTTACTGTCTGCTAGCTTGATGGTAGTTTTGCAGGATACTTGTCCTAAGGTACTTCATTCTGTTTTACTTCATAGATCTGTGAGGATTATCCATTGTGTCCTCGAATCTTGGGATTAACAGCTTCAATTTTAAATGGGAAATGTGATCCTGCTGAGTTAGAGGAGAAGATCCAGAAACTGGAGAAAATTCTAAAGAGCAATGCTGAAACTGCAACTGATTTGGTGGTCTTAGACAGGTATGTTGTACAGTTATGACTGTTAAATTGAAGCCTGCATTTTCATTTTGGAGAGAGGAATAAACCAATAGAAAGATTTCCTCCTAAATTGTAGTTAATTTTTGTGATACCTTTGCTACTCTTTGGGGTGGGGAGGGAATGTTAAATTGCTTTTTGAGTAACCAGTGCTAAGTCCATCTTTCCTTATAGTTACGTATAGAGGCTGATTGGCCTTTATATTCAGATTCTATAGGTTTGTTTTTTTAAATAAACAAACAACAAAGCAAAACAAAAAAGACCCAACAAAACAACTAAAAAGACCCACAAAAACTAAACAAACCAAAAATCCCAAACAAACAAAAAAGCCCTATGCACCACCAACCTATAAAATTCACATCCCACAATATTTGGAGAGGAACTGGATCATATTCAGTGTATACCAGAATGTTGTTGTTTAATCTAGAAAAATTCACAGTACAAGGTATACTTAATGTCAGAAAAGTTGCATTATATTTATTTTTATTTTCAAATGGGTAGCCTGGATTAATAAGGCTGAAAGACAGAGGGAGATGAGAGAAAGTAGTAAAAACTATTGGAATAGCAGAGCAGAGAGTGTGTTTGCCTCCATGTTCTTATAGAATGTAGAATCCCATGAATTGTGTTTAAAACAAAGGTGGTGTTATTTTGATCATTTGTTGTAGAGGAAAATTAGTGTGAAATTATTCAAATGTAGCATGTTTGTAGTTGTACTGTGTTGTATGAACTGAGTTTCAGACAAAGTCAAAGATGGTTATTTCATCTTCCGGCACAGGTATTTTGTGGGTGTGTTGTTTAAATGCATTTTTCTGAATTTAGGTGAACCATGTGCTTTTAAGAATCTCCATTCATAGCTCTGCCATTCAAGAACAGTAGTTACTTTACTTACGTTATACATAGACCTAAATTTACATTATGTTGATCATGTTTGGCATATCAAATACACTTTGGAAGAGCAAAAGTGAAAATGTTGCTCAAGTAAATTAAATTTACTTTGCCTCAAGTTCTCCAATATTTGAGAGGAAGGTGATGATATTTATTAACCTCCCTTTTAGAGAATGTGTTACGGAGAAAAGTATTTTAAAATGAAGTTTTACTGTAAAATATTCAACTGTGTAACTGTTCATTATTCATTCATGGTGGAGAAAGAAATATATTTATTTATATTTATTTATATTTTATATATATATGAATACAATTCATGTTGCTGTTATTTGCTGTATAACCTTAACAGACTGAAATAGCTCTTGGCTTTCAGAAACTGTGTTTAACTTGTTCTTTGCCCTCAATTAAGATATACTTCTCAGCCATGTGAGATTGTTGTAGACTGTGGACCATATACTGACAAAAGTGGATTGTATGGAAGATTATTAAAGGAATTGGATGAAGCACTTGCTTTTCTAAATGACTGCAACATACCTATACATTCAAAAGAAAGAGATTCTACATTGATTTCAAAGCAGGTAAGGGCATGAAGCTGTGTGAAAAACCTAGTGAATAGAAGTCTCACGATTATTTTTCTTTGTAGTGTATGTTACATTACTGGAATTTTCTAAGCTAGCCAGTCTAGAGTGTCTGAACAAAGAGATTCCTCATTTTAGTACTCACTAACAGCGCAAGTCTTGTCTGACCACTTGACTTGTCAGAAGGAAACAACTTTCTATTAGGTAAGATGTTGATGGTACCCAAGTGCCTATGCTGTACTCTGACTAGGGTATAGTTCTCTCTGTTTTTCCTACTCCACCCACATGTACAAACCCCTAATTTTTGGTCTTTGAGAGGCTAGACTCACTAAGATGACTGCAAGGCCACTGTAAAACTTTCTGATTAGGTACTTTTGAAACCCTGGCAAGTATCAGTAACAAAGTAATAATGCCCAGTAAAGCATTCATTTTATTAGACCTATGTTAAATATAAAGCGTAATAACTTCTGCTTTGTTTATCTAGCTGCCTCAAGAAGTGTTCTCCTCTTTAGCATAATTATGTTAAGGTAAATTTAAAATTACAATTCCACAAAATTGTAAAATATTCTTTAAACTGTTTGCTTTGGTTATTTTTTAGATTCAGAAATGTAGGAGGTTCGAAGTTTACTGTACTAATCTAGGTGGGAAGGGGGAAGTTGCTCTATTAGAAATACCAAAGTTCCCAAGGTCGTCTAAATAACAAAAGCAGACTGCTAAATATTTTTACAATATAATAATTGTCATAATCCTTACAAAGATTGTGCCGTATGATAAACAAGATCCCAATCTTAAATGAATAATTCAGTAATGTACTCTTTGAACTGATATTTGAATTCATTTGTTGTAGATACTGTCAGACTGTCGAGCTGTGTTGGTTGTTCTGGGACCCTGGTGTGCAGATAAGGTAGCTGGGATGATGGTGAGAGAGCTGCAGAAGTATATCAAACATGAACAAGAAGAGCTGCACAGGAAATTTTTATTGTTTACAGACACTTTCCTAAGGAAAATACATGCACTCTGTGAAGAGCACTTCTCGCCTGCCTCACTTGACCTGAAATTTGTAACCCCAAAAGTAATAAAGCTGCTTGAAATCTTGCGCAAATATAAACCATACGAGCGGCAGCAGTTTGAAAGTGTTGAATGGTATAACAATAGGAATCAGGATAATTATGTATCTTGGAGTGATTCTGAAGATGATGATGAGGATGAAGAAATTGAGGAGAAAGAGAAGCCAGAGACTAATTTCCCATCTCCCTTTACTAATATTTTATGTGGAATTATTTTTGTGGAAAGAAGATACACTGCAGTTGTTCTAAATAGGTAAAACCTTTTATTTTAAAAAAAATAAAATTCCTTTAAAAATAATTAGGAAGGCAGACTCAGCTTCCAGCACATGGATATTAATATTGTGAATATGTAGGGGATTATCTTGTATTTTCTGGATTCTATTTTAAAGTTTCTTTAGGAGATGATACTGGATCTGTGTAAAGAATAATGACAACAAAAAATTTACCCTCAGGCTATGTGTATATGGGGTGGATGAGAAGGATGTGTCTTCAAAATTGTACTCAAGGGCTTGTTTTGGACCTGAGTTTGTAATTTGATTCCTTTAGAAGGCGATATGTGAAATACTGTGGTTAGTTTGTAAAATAGCCATGTACTGATTTGTCTTAATCAGTCTTTTAAAAATTTAGATTTGCCATGGATGCTGGAAACTTGTCTAACCTTCCAAGTTCAGTACTTCTGGAAATTCTACCATTACCGTACTAAAACACAGTATTATATGGTTCAAGTCTACAGAAAATCAATTTTGCCAGCACACAAATATCTCTTAAAATTTATCAGTACTACTTTAACAGTTGGTGTTCATAAAACACCTATTCATTCAAACACTAAGCACTTTCTTACAGTCTCCACCAAGAAAAATACGAATTCTGGAATACTTGCCAAGATATCCTTTGCAGTCCCTTATCAGTTCTTATTCCTGAATGTGATTCATGTTTGTTATATGTAACACTTAATTGTTAAATGCTATTTGCCACAAACCATGAATGATACCTGATTTATTCACGTATCTTGATTTTGAGGTTTTGGTAGGTTTTTTTGATAGTGTGCTAAATGTCCTGTGCCATTTGTTTATTACATTCTGTATACCTCTTAATCTGACACTTCTGTTTACCTTTTTGCGTGTGTCAATAGTTTGAGTGCATAACAGACTTGCCTATGTGGTTTTTGTGAACTTCATATTTTTTTCTTTGCCTTTTTTTCATTTTTAATATATTCACATAAATACTCGATATGAGGAAGACTAGGCCACTCAATGAATGAACATGTTCTGTTAATAACTGCTCAAGAAATAAGTGATAAGTGCTTGCTGAGCTGAAATGAGTAATTATCCTACAGGAAGTAAACAGAATTGTGAATTTTGTCTTGAAGTTATGAATTTATTTCTTTTTCCACTGTGTGTTCTTGTAGACTGATTTATGCACTATACTACATCCTAACTACTGTTGAACCTGACAGCATATGTTGTCTAGATCAAATAGGTAACGGAATTCTGCCGTCTTTAACATTTAGCTAGCTAGCAGACTTGTCTCAAAATACTGGGATGATCAGCAAACCTGAGCTGTTGGAATTCAGAGTGGAAGCCTTCAGTGGAAAACTTCACTCTAGGCTCACTTCAGTTGAGTGCATTTAGTTCAAGGACCTCAGCTGATTGTAGCTCTATTTCTGTATGCACAGGTGGAATGAGTTGAATAAGGGAAGTCATGAGTGTTTGAGTTAGTATATGAAAACCACTCAATCTTCCAGAAATCCAGTACAGATCGTTATACAGAGCTAAGTTAAAGCAGAAGTATTTTTTTCTTAAAATATATTTATTATGGTAGTATTTAGAGACTTAGAATCCCATTTTATGAAGGCTGTGATGTCCGAAGAAGGGCAAAATCCATGGCATGTGTTGTACTGGGAGAAATGGTTAGGAATTTTCTCTGAAGTAGTAATTAGAGTTTATCCTCTTTATTTAGTAACAGGCATTGCATATATTGTAAATTTTACAAATTAGAAAAAAAATAACACCCCAAACTCAACTTACCTTTTTATTATTATTGCACACAAATGACAAAGTGGCTCACTGTTTTATTTGATGTGTACAGTTGAGTTCTGATGCCTGTAAGTTCATTTTCAAAAGAGAAAATATTTTCTAAAGGCCAATTTTCTTCCATTTTCGTTGTGGTGTCTTTCAGTTTCCTTAGAGGGCGTTCTGAAAGCAGAAGTTTTTGTACCTCTTTGAAAAACAACACCTGTTACCCACCACTAATAATACTTTTTTAACCACAATATTGAAGTCTTTAGTGTTTCTGAAGAACTTGCCAAGATGAGCACAGTGAAATGTTTTTTCAGATGTTTTAATTGTCCATTTCTATAGTAAGTGAGATACAGTAGGAATGTTTGAAATGCTTAGAACTGACCCTGAAGATCTATGACTTGACAAAAATGCCATGTGGAAAAAGAAATGTAAAAAAATAGGGGTTTTGTACCATTATTAATCGATACTTTTTAAATATGTCTGGGGAGCCTAGACTGCATACAGAACTTGGGCCTTTCCATCTGGTTTGGCAGCAGCTTGGTGGGCAGGTGGTAGGTAGATGTGTAGCTGAGGACTGTCACAGCATCCATCTTAGAGGTGAAAGAGAACTGCTGGAGATGTAACTGGAAAGGTTTGAATTACTGTTGGATGTACACAGAGGCAGGCTGGCCTTTAGATATGATGAGCACCTGGTAATGGTGGATGTGCTATAAACAAAGTGATACTGGGATGGCTATAAGTGCTAAGGATGTAATTTTTTATATATTTTGTCTTGATTTTTATTGGCTCTGCTGCTCAAGAGTGTTATGGTTGAGAAATCCCAGGTTCTGTCCATGCTGAAAACAGATCAACTAAGGCTGCTACTGCTTATTTACTCTGATTGCACAATGTAATTATGCTTTTAAATCCATAAATGCCTAGTTCCTCATCCAACATATTATTTATATGAGCAATCTTCTACTTTGTGAAATTAGAACACTGTAGAAACGAGCCTTTTTTGCTTCTATAACCTAAAGAAGAATGAGGGGGGGAACCTGAGAGCACAGATGATCCTGCTCAGTGTTCCTTTTGAAGAATTTATGTAGTTCCTCTAATTGTAGATACATTGGGTTAATTTCAAAAGGAATAAGCATTTTACTGGGTAGGCTGAGTATCACTCTGTAGAAAAGTGTTATCACTCCTTAGAGTTTAGAGAAGTGAGCATCCCTCTTTAGAAAACACTGAACAGTGTGTTTATTTTAATGTTAAGAAGAAGAATAACCTGTGTTTAAACCTAAAAAGTAACACATTATGTTGAAGAAACATACGTCACTGAGAGAGCAGCTACAGGTCTTTCTGCTAAAACCCATCATAATTTACAAAAAACAAGACTAACTAAAGTGGTTGTGAGTAGAGTGCCTTAACAGCAGGGAGCATTACAGTAATAGATATGTTTAAAAATATCTGATTTTATCATGATAGGTCTGAAATGCATGTAATGCATGCACAGTCATGCTGTGTATCTATGCAGTCTTTTATTATCCTTGCAGAGGTTTTCACTGGAACTAGTGGTTTTAGAGAAGGCTAAGGTCAGTTTATGTGTTAGCATGGCTTAATTGTCATGCTTGCATTTTTCCGTTGAATGTAGATCTTGCAAACAAAAGATTGTCTTCAATTTTCTGGGTTGTGTGACTTCTAAAATCACATGCAATATTTTTAGGTTGATAAAAGAAGCTGGCAAGCAAGATCCAGAACTGGCTTACATCAGTAGCAATTTTATAACTGGACATGGCATTGGCAAGAACCAGCCTCGTAACAAGCAGATGGAAGTAGAATTCAGAAAACAGGAAGAGGTAACTTCAAGAAAAATAATTGAAACTAACAGTACCTTCAGATGGTTGTGGTTTTTTGCCTTTTTGGTTTTTTGCTTTTTTTTTCTTGTGCGTGTCTCTTTAAAAATAAACCAACAGGGCACATTCATTTAATGTTCAGGGAATACCTGTTGGATATACAGATGTTCTTTGGTTACAAACAAAACAAAATAAAAAACCTCATACCAAACATTTTTGAAGATGTTGATGTATCACATTGCACAAATTAAAATTTCATGCATTGTTGTATCTAGTCTGATCATCAATCCTCTAATTTTTCGGCATTGAGTTGAAGAGTATTAAGGTTCCTGACATTTTCAACAGTTAAGCTAGTTTTAGTGTTTATTGTTCCTAAAATTGAATTTGGTAAGTCATTGCATGGTATAAATACAAAGCTTTATAATTTTGACCTCACTTTAAAGCAAGTTGTCTTTTGAAAACAAATGCATTTTTCTCTCACCCCTGCCTGGTTTGTCCTTCTAAACTCCACCATCCCCTGCCTAAACTTTCCTTAATATTGTTTAGTAAATTGTGTCAATATAAGAAGAACCTGCTCTAGAATGTGCTCCACCCCTAAAGGATAGTTCAGGCTCCGAAGTGTTTGGAAAAGATGCCATCCTGGAAGCAGCTTTCTATTTTTTCTACAGCTGAAAAATTGTAAATTATTAGGTGGGAGCATCTCCATTGCTCATGGCTGTAGTAGCTTCTTGGATTCATGTAATTCCATGTACTAGATTTGATAACTAAATATCTCCCAGTTCTGTTAAATAGTCTTGCTGTGTTTCTCAGAAGACTTTTTGTAATAGTGTTTTATTTGCATATTTACACAGATTTTTTTGAATGTCTGATTCATTGTCCTTGTTTTTTATTGGCTTTTGATGAATCCTAATATAGATACAGATCTCAGACTAATGTCTCAAATTTACTGTCTTTACTTCTGCAGGTTCTTAGAAAATTTCGAGCTCATGAGACCAACCTACTTATTGCTACTAGTATTGTAGAAGAGGGTGTTGACATACCAAAATGCAACTTGGTGGTGCGTTTTGATTTGCCCACAGAATACCGTTCCTATGTGCAGTCAAAAGGGAGAGCTAGAGCACCAATTTCCAATTACATTATGTTAGCAGATACAGACAAAATCAAAAGCTTTGAAGAAGATCTGAAGACATACAAAGCAATTGAGAAGGTATGAGGTCAAGTACTGTGCCTGGTTTTGTTAAATGTAGCAGTATTTTTTTAAAGGAAAAAAATATCTTATCTTCTGTTCTTGAAATGTTAAGATCCTCAGAAACAAATGCTCAAAATCTGTTGATACCAATGAAACCGAAACTGAATCCATTGTTGATGATGATGATGTATTTCCACCCTATGTATTGAGGCCAGATGAGAACAGTCCAAGAGTTACTATTAACACTGCTATTGGACACATAAATAGGTAAGAGACATACTTACTTTTTTACTTCTTTGAATAAAATGTTTCTTAGTGTGTCTCAACATGGAAGCACAGCCTGGAGCATTGGACACATTTCCCTTAGGATTCTTTATAAGATATTTCCTAAAGAAAGTGATCAGAGCAATTTGAAGGGATAATTTGCTCTTTGTATTTATCCTACAGAGTTTCTAGGTCTGATAATTAACAGAGTGATATTGATACCTGTTTAATTAAAAGCTGCCCTGAAAGCATTCAGTTTCAAAATGGGTAGTAAGATTTGTTGTTTCTTTGTTTTCTTTTTGCAAGCTAGCTTTAAAAATAAAAGTAGCTTGTTAAAACTGTAGTAAAATCTTCTAGTTCTAAAATAGTACCATAGTAGCCAAAGTTTTGAGATTCAGGCCATTTTGGTGAACCATGTGATAAATAAAACCTAGCAAAACAGTCAGGTTTTGAAGGGTATAGTGGTAGATGGTTCAAAGGCTTGCAGCTGGTGATACATGGCATTGCTCATGGGCCATTAGGAGGTCTGGTAAGGTTTAATGCAAATGTGTTTGCATTTGACAGCAAGCTGGGAGAAGGGCAAGTGAGTGCAGTGGAGAAAAGGCTATATTTCATATGGGGAACCATGGACAAGTAGGAGGAGTAGGACACAGTAAGCTCGGGAGATAAAACTAAGAAAAATCCAGACTGAGGCCTGAGGTGGAATAGTCTTGTACAACACCTTGTTGGAGATCAGCTTTGTAATAAAGGACTTGGATGTCTTCTGATCAATAGTTGAATATGAATCATCAGTGTAACCTTGAAGTGTGTAGTATAGCCTGATGAAGGAATCTTCTGTACTGCTTACACCAGTATGGCAAGATTCCACTGAAATGTGTTTGGGTTTCAATTTGCAGGTTTTGATGATTTGTAAAATGTTTTTTGTCAACTTAGGTACTGTGCTAGATTACCAAGTGATCCATTTACACACCTAGCTCCCAAGTGTAAAACCCGAGAACTACCTGATCGTACGTTTTACTCCACTCTCTACCTGCCAATCAACTCACCTCTTCGAGCTTCAATTGTTGTAGGTATTTGGGGAATTAAAAGCATGGAAACAAGTGAATATGTTGGTATAGATGTCTGTGCTGTTTCCAGAATTAGTTTCATTGTTAATGAAAGTCACATTTTCTTTCCTGTATTGTGCTCTATAACTGTATTTACATCACTGTTTTTTTTCTGCTATAATGCTTTCCAGCAGTTGCTGTTTATTCCAAAGGCAAAAATACTTGGATATTTTTCCCAGTGCCTAGTTTTTTCACAATTTATGTATCAGTTGTATGAAAACATCCTTCATTAGTTTTGGTCAATAGTATATTTATTTTTTGTAGTTTTGTAATTTTGACATCTGTGGAAAGCCAGCAGAAGCCTGAATGTGTCCACAAAACTGTCACAAATTAATTTTTTTCTAAAGTTTTGCTCACCTATTGGGTTTATGTTAAACAAATTAAATGTATAATAAAGAATGTGCTAATCAACCAGAATTTTAAAGAAATATTTAAATGTTTATAGGGTCCTCCAATGAGTTGTGCAAGACTGGCTGAAAGAGTTGTAGCTCTTATTTGCTGTGAAAAGCTGCACAAAATTGGTAAGAACTGGAAAAACAAGACTTCTCTGGCAAATAATGTTTTGTAATTGAGAAATTGAACATGGTATAGATGTTATGCATATGCATGCATTTCTGCTATAGCCATCTTCTGTAGCTTCCTTTCCCTTGCCTTGTTTTGTGATATGATCATGTATTTACTGATTTAGCTTACACCTGGTAAACTGAAGTTATATTTTCCAGGGAAATCTTGTAATTTAATGTATTTTGTCTTAAAGAACAAATGCAGTGTTAATACAAGATAAGCAGATTTTGACATTGAATATACTTAATAAAGGTGAAGAGAGTCTTGTTCTCTAGATGTTGATTATAGGTCAGGGACAACATCCTGCAGCCAGAAAAGAATTTTTTTCAAAGCCCTAAATTCATTATATTCTGTACTATGTTGTGAGTCATGTTCCAAAAATAGGACATTGCAGGATTATTTTAGCTCTCTTGTCTCTAGTAAATATAGTGAAGCATACTCTTTATTGTGAAATGTTTTAAAGAGAGTTTTGTGTTACGCGTGCTTTGATGAAGTACAGAAGTATTTATGTAACTTTTAAGCAAAAAAAAATTGTAGGTCTGGGCTTTGTATTATTTCTCCTGTCTGAGTTAAACCTTTTGATGACTGAATTCATACCAGTAGATGTTTCCAAGAATAACACTGTGATGGCTCAACTTAGTGTTGATAGTGCAAATTCAACAGTAGTAATTCCCTTTTAGGAAAGATACAGAAATACAACTGTTCCCTCTTTCTTGGCATTGCCATGCGAGTAATTTTTAAGTGAGCATTTCACTTGTTTTTCATGGGCAAAGAAGAGTTTATTTTCCTTTGATATTTTCATTATGTAATTCAATTTTTTAAATAAAAATTTCAGTGGTTTTTACTATAAATTAGTATTTTTGACAGAAATTTAACCTTTACAACTCATTTCCCAAAGTAATACTTTTGAAGCTTTACAGTAATAAGTGTATTTTAAAAACTTAAGTGATGTGTTACCGTAAGCAATCACATTTATTGTGTAGTGTCTGAAGTAACCAAGACTTGATTGTTCATAATGCTATTATTTCTTATTCATTCATAATATTCAGGTGAACTGGATGATCATTTGATGCCAGTTGGCAAAGAAACGGTTAAATATGAGGAAGAACTTGATTTACATGATGAAGAAGAAACCAGTGTACCAGGAAGACCAGGCTCTACAAAACGAAGACAGTGCTATCCTAAAGCTGTTAGTATCACTCAGTGCTGTCCACATATCTGATCAAATGTTTTATGTACTGATAAGACACAGTTGCCAACTCTTAATCTTACCTGATAAGAGCCTTTTACAATAAGTCTAGCATTTGTAGTGGAAATATTTAGCAGTTGTAAGTCTATGAAGACTTGCACTATTACCTGAATGAGTTTATGGCACCAAATGCTTTGAAGCATGCCTGTAGTTCAAAGAACATACAGTTTCTGTAAAGCTTGTTTTCTCTATTTGCCAAACGTAGAAATAACTGGGAGGAAAAATTGTCCTGCATTAATAATCTGTAAAATCTTTACATTCTCTGGTAAATATACTAGAGCAAAGGAAGAATTACTGGCTTTCTAAACAAATAATTAAAGGAGATGCCTAGGGGATCAAAGTTCTCTGCCAAGTGCTAAACACAATTTTTAAAAGTTCTTTTAGATGCTTGATTTAATTTAGTGATTTTATTGATTGAACATACAGTTTAATAACTTTTTATTTACATCTAGAATATCAAATAAATATACTTTTAATATTTTTTACTTTTTTAAAATTAGTTATAAATATTATACTTTATACACTAAAGGGGTCACATAAATGCTTACTGTAGCTCCGCATTATTAAGTTACTTTGCCTTAGATCTGTTGAAACAGATTTCAGCCACATCAGTTTGTAGAATTGGACCTCTTAGTATTTATGGGGAAATGTCAAATACTTGAAAAGCAAGAGAAAAATGGAGAAAAGAAGGTTTGTCAGAGTATTTTGCAACTGCTTAGGAACCTTCCTTCTTCCTCTACAGTTGTTACAGGTTTTGTCTTAGACAATGAGAGAGCCTTTTTCTTACAAGACTTCAAAACCTGTTTGAATCTCAGTTTTTTTAGTGTTTCTTATAACAAGTGTCTTTCTTTGTCCTCTTACCTCACTAGTGATTGCTGAAATAGGGATTACTCCTACAATGCATGATTCTGTTATCTCTCATTCAGCTGGGTGAATTTGTCAAGTGGTGCATTATTCTTTCTTGGGTTTTTTAATACAGAATCCAAGAATACTTTCCCTTGCTTTTGTCCCAGCTCTAACATCTGGTAAAGAAGCTTTGGCAAATATGGAAGGTCTACAAGATCCTCTTGAGCTTAATATAGTTACTAACTTTCAGTAATTTTCCAGTACGCCAAGGCCACAGTTTTGTTGCCATGTAACTTTAAAATTCAGGACACTGTGTATTGCAGTTTAGCTTTATATGAACAGGAGGATCATTTTTGAGTCCTACAAAGTAATGAACTCCTATCAAATGTTGAGCTCGGGTTTTTAAGGTCTATGACAAATATAAGAAGCAGAGTTAAAAATGCTTGTGCCTGTTAAGAGCATTCATATCTGCAAGCTAGAATTGTCGTTATAAAACCTCTAGAGTGTAATGCCTGAGCAAAGGGGCAGTCTGTTGAATTCTGTTTGTGTGTTGGTCCCAAGCGTATAAAAAACACTTGATACATTTAAACAGGAAGGAATCCATGTTAATGAAGCTCTAAGTTCAGCCAGGTTTATATAAAAACTGGATTACTGGGATGCAGTTTTTTCATGCGTGCACATGTTTTTCTTTATCACTTTTTTCTTCTACGGTTAAGGTCTAAAGACCTTGGAAATAAATTGTGCTTCAGAGTTACTGGCTAAATAGGGAAACTGACATCAAAAGTTCATTTGTATTTATGGTGAAGTACTGTCTGTGTTCTACATTACTAACATGGGGTAGATACAAAGGAAGTTTGGAGTTGAAAGCTGCCTTTTGGCAAACAAAATCTGTGAGCATTGTGCTCCCCTGGTACAAGTGTTTGGCCAGCTCTCATGGCTGCCAGGCCAGGCTGCTGACCAGACATTTTTGCTTAAGAAAGAAAACAGTACTTAAGCCCAGATTCATTCTTCTTTATTCATTATTTTCAGCAATATCTTTCTAAATAAACACATGAAGCCTTCTTCAAAGAATAGCCTTTAGGTGAGTTCTGCTTATTTATATCATGCTAATGTTGTTTGGTTTTTTTACTTTTCCTGATTTTTAGATTCCAGAATGTTTGAGGGATAGTTATCCCAAACCTGATCAGCCCTGTTACCTCTATGTAATAGGAATGGTGTTAACGACTCCTCTACCTGATGAGCTCAACTTCAGGAGACGAAAGCTGTATCCTCCGGAGGACACAACAAGATGTTTTGGTATATTGACAGCCAAACCTATACCTCAGGTAACAAAGTGCCTTTCCTAGTGCCTTTTCTAGTGCCTTTCCTTAATCTACATTCTTATTCTGTTATTTTCCACTTGTTCCCCACTCCCAAACTGCAAATCTATCCGATCCAGTCACCACTGCATTTTCTGTCTTAGTAATGTAACAATCTGTTCTGTTTTTGTCAAACTTTTGTTTTACAATTTTATTTAATATTATTTTGCAGTGACAAATTCAAAATGTTCCTCCTTTTTTCTGTGAGGTATGGTGAAAGTGGTTTATTGGCCACAGAGATGACCTATAGCACTATATGGAAGTTACAGCAACAAGTCCTCTTAAGCATTCCTAGTCTGCAGCAGGAGAAAACATAGGCCATGTTAATTGAAATTGGCTTAGGAAATTTTGTAATAAAAAGGTATTTTCTGTGGATGAGACTCAGATGAGGAAGATTTTTTCCAAAGCATATTTTGTGTTGTCTGCAGAAGAAAACATGTCAGGAATTTTACTGGTTTTCACATTTCTTACTCCATAATGGAAAAAATTCAGTTTTTAGTTGATCTTACATAAAGAACTGTAAAACATGAGGGAGAACTACTAAAAAAAACAACAAAACAGTCATTCTTTAAGCATTCAAAATCTCACTTGTAATTGAAAGTCATCAAAGGTCAAAACTTGGTCTATTTTGCTGTGGGATCAGGCAAGTGCTACCTCAGCATCTGAGCTGAACAACCAGTACTCTGTAGAGGAATGGTACTTTGGATTTTCTTTCTCAATTTCTTCTGGTTTTTTTTTTTCATATTTAGATTCCTCACTTTCCTGTGTATACTCGCTCTGGAGAGGTTACAATATCTATTGAGCTTAAGAAATCTGGCTTTACTCTGTCTCTGCAAATGCTTGAGCTGATAACGCGACTCCACCAGTACATTTTTTCACATATTCTTCGTCTTGAAAAACCTGCACTAGAGTTCAAACCCACAGAAGCTGATTCAGCCTATTGTGTTCTACCTCTTAATGTTGGTAAGAACAGAGCTCGTTTTTTAAGTATTCCCTTTGGATTCTTTTAGCTACATGTTTGTTAATGTTTCTCCTAAATTTCACGTGTTATCTGTAGAAATAGTATCATATAAGGTAGTATGAACATTTGTCAGTTTTATTTTTATTATTTCTTCACAATTCCAAATTAGTTTTAACTTGGTGATCTGAGTTGATTTATAATAGATTTCAGCTGCCTCCATATGAGTCAGAAATTGTATGCATGTCTTGTTTTGAAATTTTTTGAAATAATCAAGTACGTAAAAAAGTAATTTACACCTTCCCAGAAAAGTTCAGCCAGAAGAACTCTCCCATGAATAATTGAGTTATGCGTTTTCCTTTTTAAGTTGATGACTCCAGCACTTTGGACATTGACTTTAAGTTTATGGAAGACATTGAGAAATCTGAGGCACGTACAGGCATTCCCAGTACACAATATACAAAAGAAATGCCTTTTATTTTCAAGTTAGAAGACTACCAGGATGCAGTTATCATTCCACGGTGAGTACAGTGTTATGTGCTTTACGTACATAGTTATTGTATTTATACAAACACCAGTAATAAAGGGATGTTATTATTTGCTATAGAAATGCTTGTAAGAAATGGATGCTATTAATCTGAAGGTATCTGGTGGTGTCTCAAATGATTTAAAGATGTTTTTTAGTCAACAGTTAGTCGTAAGTGGTAGAATTTAAGTGTTTAGGCCTCCCAAGACTACCTTTTTATTAGGAATAGTAGAGTTCATCCCCCAAACTTATGTAGTATTCTGTTAAAACATTGCAATCCCGTCAAGAATTGGCCTACTGAAACCAATTTTAATTTTGGAAGATTGAGTGGGAGTCCTCTGGTTACTGCTGGTTCACACCAAAGGCCTGCTAAAGGAAGGTATACTGTTGGTAGATGAATAAAGACTAGTTAAAAACATGTTTATTTGAACAGTATTTAGTGGAGGAACTTACATTATCTTATGTACTGGATATGGAAAAGTTCACCAGAATGGATAGATTTTGTGGAGACTTGATTATTCCCTATGTTATGTTTGACATGATGTGAAAAAAGAAATGGACTGACTGGCTAGTGCTGGCACCTAGTAATTGTAAATAATGGTAGTTGGAAAATATATATGGAAGTTAATATTTAATACTTTGTTTTGGCCTCATCTGTGTTAGACTTTTTTGTTTTCTTTAAATCTCTTCCTACCAGTGCTGATGAATGTTGTGGTAAAAATGCAAGTGTAAAAAAGCAGTGATGGATCATCACTGTATACAATCATTACTTCATGTGGTCAGAGGAGACGCCACAGGAGTAGCTCATAGGCTGTGCAAATTAGCATAGCTGGACTTCTGTGAAATGCTGGTGTCTCACCTGTCTGAAGATCTGGTCTCACGGTGCCTAAACCAGTATTCTTCTTCCCCCCTCCCTCATTTTTTTTTTTTTGTGATTGAAGATGGGGCTGAGTAGGTGGCTGAGTACATCTCTCTTAGTGAATTATAAGTTGCCATCTGATAATGTTCATAATGTTCAGGCTTGGGAGAAGTAAAAACATCAAGAAATCCCACAAGTTCAAGGATTTCTGTTCTCAAGTCGACATAAAAGTGGTAGATACACATTCTTGGTCTTCTCTGTAGGTTATGAGCTCCTCAGGGGAAGTGTAATACAATGCCTGTATATTGGTACAGTTATGATTTAATTATTCTCATTGGAAGAAAGCTAAAAAAGACTAATTTATAATCTGCTAATTTTATTTAGAAGTCTCATCTGCATATTTTAATAGAAGCTTAATAGAAGCAGATCAAAAATAAGCTGATATGCAAATCTAAATACAAAATGTTGATTTAATTACTTATTTGTCATTATTATTTTCATGTGCATGTTTATCACCATAGTCTCCCATGAGCATCAGTAGACACAATAAAGGCATTGCAGCATCCTTGCTTCATTATTCTAAGTCTGTCTGTATTACAAGAACAGCAGTGTCCTTAGAAGGCTTGTGAATTTACCTCACTAGGTATGTGGGGGTTTTGTATTTTAACTCTGTTTAGAGGATAACTCAGTTAAAATGCAAATTTAGCTGTGAGGTAGCACAATAGAACTCCATTTCTACTGAGTGTAACAGTAGGAGACAAATTATAAAGTTTAATTGCTAGATGTGTAGAAGTAATAAATTATAATTCGGAGTATTTAGTATTAGAGATTGCTGTTCAGAGCTTGATTTTGTCTTAGATATTGAAGACACAAATCCTGTATTTAATTTAAATGTGTCTGTAGAGGGAATTACATAGGTTACATTTTGACTTTATTCTTCCATATCTTATAGCACACTTGCATTTAGTATTTGAGTTATCTAAACAAATTCATCTACAGCCAAAAAAAAACAACTACCAACCAGAAAACTCAAGTGAGCTATCTAACTGCTTATCATTTGACCACATTAAAACATCAAGAACTTAGCACAGGCTTTACTGTAAGGCTATAACATATACCAGAATATTTTTTCTGTTTTTAGGTATCGAAATTTTGATCAGCCTCATCGATTCTATGTAGCTGATGTATACACTGATCTTACTCCACTGAGTAAATTCCCTTCCCCTGAATATGAAACTTTTGCTGAATATTATAAAACCAAGTATAATCTTGACCTGACCAATCTCAACCAGCCACTGCTGGATGTGGACCACACATCTTCAAGGTAACAGCAGTCGCTTTTTTGTGTCTGATGTTTGTAGTTTGACAGTAAAGTGCATTTTTCTTGGGGAATGGGGGGAAGTTATAGGATAGAGCTGAGGGCTTGTGTTTTTCAAAATAATTACTGATTTTTTTCCTTAAGAGGTACTTAACTTACATTACAGTAACTGTAACTGGAGTCCAGCTTTTCCAAAGATGCCTTTGCTGTCACATCACAATGTGTTAAGGTTGAATACTAAGAATAAGTCATCACTTTAGAAAGTTTAGGCTAGTAAGTTCTATATATTAATTATGTACCTGCATTAAAGTATTTTCACATGGCTTTTAGACTTAATCTTTTGACTCCTCGCCATTTGAATCAGAAGGGGAAAGCACTTCCACTGAGCAGTGCTGAGAAGAGGAAAGCAAAGTGGGAAAGTTTGCAGAATAAGCAGGTAAAATAGAAGTATTCAATTCAAGTTGACTGTCAACGTCATCTGATAACTACCTTTACTGGTAAAAAATTCTTTTCTTCCTCCCTCTTCATCCCAGATCCTGGTTCCAGAGCTGTGTGCTATACATCCTATTCCGGCATCATTGTGGAGAAAAGCAGTTTGCCTCCCCAGCATACTTTATCGCCTGCACTGCCTTTTGACAGCAGAGGAACTCAGAGCTCAAACAGCCAGTGATGCTGGCGTAGGGGTTAAATCACTTCCTGCAGATTTCAGGCATGTATTTTTTCAATATGGTATCTGACTTCACTGGAAAAGAAGGTGAAAACTTAACCATTACTGCATGAATTTGAAACTAATATCCTTTGTTTAACTCGTGTCAGTTTTCAAGGAAATACAGTTTAAAAAGACTTGATTGTGAATGGTGAAGTTTGATGCTGCAGTCTGTTCTTTTCAGAAGAACTTGGCTTTTTTTTAAACATACATGTGCATATAGTCGTCTTGTCTTACAGTATTTTATTGTTAATAAAATCAGCATGTATCTTTACAGATATCCTAACTTGGACTTCGGATGGAAAAAGTCTATTGACAGCAAATCCTTCATCTCTATTCCTAACTCTTCTTTAGCAGAGAATGAGAATTACTGTAAGCACAGCACAATTGTAGTCCCTGAAAATGCTGCACATCAAGGTGCTAATAGAACCTCTTCTGCAGAAAACCATGACCAAATGTCTGTGAGTTACAGAACATTGCTCAATGAGTCACCCCGTAAACTCCAAATTGATGTCTCGGCAGAATTTGCAGCAATTAATGGTGTTTCTTATAATAAAAATCTTGCCAATGGCAATTGTGATTTAGTTAACAGAGACTTTTGCCAAGGAAATCAGCTGAATTACTGCAGGCAGGAAATACCTGTGCAACCAACTACCTCATATCCCATTCAGAATTTATACAGCAGTGAGAACCAGCCCAAGCCCAGCAATGAATGTACTCTACTGAGTAATAAATACCTTGATGGAAATGCTAACAGATCTACCTCAGATGGATGCCCCAAAATGGCAGTGACCACCAGTACTTCAAAAGCTATTAATCTTTCAAAAGACAGAGCAGATACTGAAAAGAACCCTTCCAGTGCGTACTCCTCAAAAACTCTTGGTCCTAATCCTGGTCTCATTCTTCAAGCTTTGACTCTTTCAAATGCTAGTGATGGATTTAATCTGGAGCGACTAGAAATGCTTGGTGATTCATTTTTAAAGCATGCCATCACTACATATTTGTTTTGCACTTACCCTGATGCTCATGAGGGACGGCTGTCATATATGAGAAGCAAAAAAGTAAGTAGTAACAATCCAGTGATATTATGTAAAAGGCATGCTGTGTACAAGCCATAAATATATCAGTTTTACTAGAAAATAGAATGGCGACAGGTTGATTTAATTATGCAGCTTTACTGATTATGCATTGGGTGGCATATATATATGACGAATGAAAACACAGGACTATTGGATTAATGTTGCCATAAGAATATTGAACGGATTGGTTGGAATGGTTTTTTATGGTTCATTTTGAAATCTAGACCTGCTGATTACCAGCCTAAGGAAGGATGGGACTGAATAGAGCTAAAAGTTCAAATGTAGTGATGATGTTGGGGGTACTGAACACTAGAGCTAAACTGAGTAGAAACTTTAGCAGGAGTGCTTGAATGAAGGTGTGGGAGGTAGTAAGCAGCACAGAGCCTTGGATTGTAGCTTTGTTTGACCTTTCCTATTTTTTTCTCAATAACCTACTTTCTTTGAAAAAAATTAACATGATTTTACAGGAACACTAAAAATGAAACAACAAAAAATCTAACAGAACTGTTACATCAAAACTTTTTAAAGTATTTTAAAGTAAATGTAAACAGCAGTGAGCACTCTTCAGTTCTACTGCTGCTGATTTTAAATTCTGAAATAATCAATTGTGTGGAAGTCCATTTTGTTTTCTCCACATAATGTGATAATTTGAATTAAATGGTAAAGATTTGATTGTCTACCTCTAATAAAATGCATCACCATGAATTAAATTATTGAGTACTTTAGTCTTGGAAAGTAAGGAGAGCTAAATAAATTACACAATTCAAATAAAGGAAGTGATTGAATATTCAAGTTAAAATTTCAGTATTTCAAAAAGAAACATGGAAAGAGTACTTAAAATGAGAAATGAAGATCAGAAGTTGATCATTAAAAAGGAAAAGGAAATACATTTGTGTATCGAGAGTGATTTTTTTTTTTTTCCCCTTCCCTTTAAAATACATGAAATAATTTTAAAGACTATTAAAATAACATCTGGTTCATGACTTAATAAGATTTGTTATCTTGTTAAAAAACATTAAACTGTTTCAACACTTTCTACTGCCAAGGTTTAGGTCAATCTACCCATGATAGTAATTGCTATTCATTCAAAATCTAGTCTGGTACTGGTAACTAATGGCACTTGTACAATTTATATTTACTATTATTTTTAAAGTAGCAATAATTTTATTTTGCAAAGAGAATTTAATACATCAGATTTCTTTAGCTGAAATTGTCACACCTAATATGTTTGGTCTGAAAAAATAATAATGTAAAAATTTGTACCTAGCTGTGAATTGATTGTGATATATTAAGAAAGCTGAACTCCCCTTTGGGGACTACAGAAAATGCGTAATGGTACAAGATCTAGCTTGACTTCGTTTTGCTCCTTTTGCATTTTAACCTATTTTTATGTAAATGTATGTTCAGAGGTTTATCAGAATGTTTTTCTTGAAGGTCAGCAACTGTAACTTGTATCGCCTTGGAAAAAAAAAAAGGACTGCCCAGTCGTATGGTGGTATCGATTTTTGATCCCCCCGTCAATTGGCTTCCTCCTGGTTATGTAGTAAACCAGGACAAGAGCAACACTGATAAGTGGGAGAAAGATGAAGGGGTAAGACTTTGACTATGTTGAGGAATAATTATTTGTGTGTCTGTATTCCCTCACTTTGTTGTCCTCCCACCCCCCTAGATATTTTGCTATGCAAAAAGGAGTAAGTTTGTATCTTTGTTTCCTTACTAAAGCTTCACTATAACTGGATGAGAGGTAACTCTTCCTGAATAGAAGCTGAAATATGGGAATTTACTGAATGTTGTCCAATAATGGGTGTATATATTAATAGAAAAGCACAGAAGAAAAACATTTTTGTTTGTAGTTAACATGGTCTTGGGAGTTCTGAAATTTTTATTGGAAATTTAAACAGTTAATGGTTTTACTGTAATATGTACAGACAGAAGATTGCTTTTTAATAGATAGTGAGTTCACCTTTATAGAATATATGAAAAGGAGTTGCTGTTTTTCATAGTGCTGAGGTGGAATTAAGATTAGAACTGGCTTAAGAGGCTGTTCAGTGTTGGTTACTGTTAACTACACCACTGGTGTGACTGAGAGCTACTTCTCATTCAAAATATGATTCTGTCTTAGACACCCTCACTGTCTATTACCACGAGGTTCAGAATAGCAAATATTAATGAGGAACAATTCAGATTATTTTCTGACTAAACTCATTGGATGTCAGTAACATAATCTTTAAGTGTTTGAGACTGGTTTGGAGGTGGGGGAAAGGAGGTGGAGAGGTTTTTTCTTTTTCCCCAATTTTGAAGGCCACACTCGGATTGTAGAACCACCAGAGGGCAACAAGAGAGGACTGTTACATAGATCTACTGTGCAAATAAATTTTTATTGCAGCATAAAACAACCTGACTATTGTGGTTCTGAATTGTGCCAAGATTTAATGTCAAAGAGACTTGCTGCTATATCTTTCTGAAATTAAGATAGCATATTTAGGACAGCAGCTAATTACTGGGTTTAAGAAGTTCTCGGTTGTTCATAACTTTTCAGTGCTCTCTTCCTCTTTCCTAATCACTGTTCATTTGTAGATAAAACACATTTTCAGACCAAAAGGCAGACAGTGATGCAACTGAGAAGTGGGGGTTTTTTGTGCCAAGTAGATATTTTGCTTTCTCAAATGTATATTTCATTCTCCATGCATGGGCTGATGGTCTATAACTGGAGCTAGAAATCTCATATAATTTTGGCAAATTATTGTAACATCCAAGTCAAATGTTGGTATTTTTTGTGTTATCAAGCTTTATTAAGGGGAAGAATCTTCCTTTGTTTATTTGATCAAAGAGCTGATTTCCAAAAAGTCTGAAAAAAATGCTTAGATGTATTTATCTTCAGCTTTTAAGTGATTGTAACTTACTAACAATCAATCAGGTATTATTTGAGAATGTGTTCTTTCTTCTGGGATTAATTGTTGATTTATTTTTTTTTAATTGGTATCTCATAAGGAAAAAAACTATCAGAATTGCTTCCTGGCCCTTTTACTTATGTTCATTTTCATCACTTAGAATTTTATTGTGTTTTTTTTATGTACAAGAAGTGGTGTGTGGACAATATTAGGCTAGTTCATGTAGCTGTCCTGATGAAAATTAATGTTATTCGAAGAAAACTGTGAATGAGATTATAGTATAAATGAAGTTTATAATTTGTCAAATCTTTTAAAAAACAGAGTTGTCCATATAAATACATCTCATTCAGAGAGTGTATTTTTATTTCAGAAGCAGATGAGACAGGTGGTGTGTAACAAGAGAAAGTCAGCACTAGCTCTAGTTGGGACTAAGTAATTTAGTCTTATTTTGAATATTATACTGCTGCTAGTATATAAAATAACTGTTTCAAATCAAATTTTGCTATCTCTGATTGATTACAGTTGCAGAAATACCTGCTGTTTATATGTGAGAGTGGTAATTACAGCATCAGAAACTCTTCAAACAAAGCGTCTAAACTAGGAAGAAAAAGTGGCTTTAGAAATGAATCTCCTCTCATTACTAAATTTGACTAATCCTGCTTCATCCTGATGAGGAACGCTGTGATCTGTTTGATCTTTAGATGGTTTCAAGTGCTGCCTAGTGCATCCTCTTACAGCTGCCACCTATCCAGAACTACAGAGCATTGTGCATTTGGCCCAAAGGGAGAGGTCCTGTCATGATCCGCGACCTATTATATCTCCTTTTTGGAGTGAATTTAGCTTATCGGGATCTGCCGAGAGGTCCGCACACGGCGCTCGCCTCTCACAGAGGAGCAGTGACTTCGGCACTGCCTTTTCGGGTGAGACACTTGTTCAGTGCTCACTGGTGTTTCCAATAACAGCAGCCAATCCCCAATTAGAATTTACGAATACAGAGTTTATTGGGGGGGAAAAATAAAACAGTTTAGGGCAGGAGGTTCAAAAAGGGTAATTAAAACACATAGGAGCTATGAACTGTCTTTTAAACACCAAATACCAAGAACTTATATATGCCTTAATACTTATATATAGGTACACCTTATTTACACACCCAGATTAATTATCTATGAGGGGAGAAGGAAGGAGGGATATGCCCGACGCTTGTCCCGTATAGGGTCGCGGTTTGTGTGCAGGTAAATGAGACAGGAACCCCTTAGGGAGAGAATTGTACCCCAAAATACAATTCCTTACTTTGTTCCTGAGATGCTCTAGGTACTTACATAGTAGCTGCGGATGACTTTCCCCGCAACCCAGTCTTAGAACCACGGGTGGCAGGAAGAAGTCTCACCGCATGTGCTCAGCAAGAGGAAGGTTCCGCAGCCAGGGACCGCCGGCAATGCAGCCACGAGCTGGGACTGCAAAAAGCCACGGGAGAGATGGGACAGGCTGGGTCTGCAGGGATTAGCTGGGACTAGCCAGGACTGCAAAAGCCACGGGCGAAGCGGGACGAGCCAGGAGCTGAAAGAGGAGTGGGGACCTCTGGCCGGCAGGCACCCCCAGGGCGCACGTCACTCCCCAAAAGCAAGCAGCAGCTCCAGAGCCTGTGCAAACGTGCGCCCCCAAAGCAGTGCGCACAGTGTCTCTTTTATGGGTCTCCTTTGCTCCCAATTGACCATTCTTATATTTCTAGGGCTTCTCAGCCAATCAGGCGGGGACTTTTTTCCCGCCACTGCTGTTGCCGGGCAGACTAGAGGTTTGCAACCTTGTTGCCGTTTTCCCACCACTGCTCCTCTCTAGCAGCAACTACCCCCTCATGGCGTCTGAGTTGTTTTCAGACAGAGGAGGCAGGCAGGAGAGGGTTTAGAGTGACACACAGAGCAGCCATCTTTAAGCCAGTTATGTCTGCTGACCTAAAGGGCATTTTATGTTCATGTGAGGAGATATCTGGTCCTTCACATGTCCCCAGTGGTATCATCTGGTTCACAGATTTGCAAGATTAAGTGACTGGGGTTTACAATATGATATAGGTAGATTGAGGCAGCTATAGGCTGTTTCACTTGATTCAAAATGCTGTTGGCTTTCAGGACCCAATCCAGAAAAGCACTTTTGAGTCTGATCATGCTTCTGTCAAATTCAGTGCCAGAATTCCCACTGACATCAGTGATGCTCAGCCAAGCCTGTAAATACTCCTTTTGATGTTAGGAAGACTACTTGTATGTTTAAGTGGTTTCCTGGACTGGGGCTGGGGCAAATTGTACAGCATTGTATAGTTTGGGCATATCTGTGTTCAATTTATAATTTACATCAATCCATACCGATTTACTCAATATGAGTAGGGAAAAGACATGAGACATCATTAGTGTTTACTGCTTGTAGGTATGCATGCAAGTGTTACAAAATTGGTGACAACACCTTTTATTTACTGAAGGCTGTAAGTATAGCCAGAAAAAAAACCTGGAACTTTAAACAAATATGTACTTGTTCAAAGGATAGGATTGATACTAGTTGCCTTTGGCTTCAGTCATTATCCTACTTCCTGATTTAACATATATGTTAATACTCAGCTTAAAAACAACAAAAACCTTTATTACAGAAGTGTGCAGTTCTTGCCACTTTTCCGTTTTTAGACCTGCTATATTGAAATCCTGAAATATTAAATCTCTCCAGTTTGTAATACATTTAATATTGGTTAAAATGAAGAACGACAGTGCAAATTAATTCTTACATGACCAAAAATTGGCCTATATCTAATAAGCAGCAAGATTATTAACTGAATCCCCAACACATGCAGTCAAGGCTGTCATCCACATAAGCATGAGATTCTTGCCACCTAACTGATATTAGACTCCATTTTGATCTGTAATATAAGTCACCTGCACTGATTCATTGCTAGTTTGCCAAATAGACTGAATTAATTTGCAACTGTGTTTGAGAGCATACATAAATATATTTTTCTGCTTCAAGTGATGATTATTGAAGGACTAGGATAAAGAAATTCTGTTATTTTATTGAATGTGTTTTCTGTTTGTGTGTCTGAAAACTGAGATTATCATAATTCTGACTACAGTAAATCTTGCAAGTCCCTTTGTGTTTGCCATAGAAGGAGGAAGAAATAATTTTCAGAATTACATTTTTAATCATGTAAATAGCCTTACTTAGCAGATAGAAAGATACAGCCAAAACTGTTTCTTGTACTTCTCCAAATTTGTTAATTTAGTATTTTTTTGCTGACTTTGGCATGCAAGTATATAATGTTTAGTGGTTTTAAAAATGTGTATGTATCACAGTCAAGTAATATCATGTGTTTCTATGAAATGTGTTTATATGTAGAGCCTACACTGTTAAAGGTTAATAATATTTTGTATTCCGTCAATTATTCTAGTCTTAGAATGCTCGTGTTAACTGAGGTTGTATTGTGCATCTGATCAGATAATGTGATTAGGAACATTAATTTTAAAATCATTATTATTAGCAGACACTACCTAAATCTTACTCTCCTAGCAGTTCTGTAATTTGTTTCCCTCTTCAGTACCATATTTTTTGTTTTCTCTTATAGACAAAGGAGAACTTGTTGGCTAATGGTAAACTTGATGATTATGATGATGATGAAGAGGATGAAGACCTAATGTGGAGGTTACCCAAGGAAGAAACAGACTTTGAAGATGATTTTCTGGAGTATGATCAAGAGCATATCAAATTCATTGATAATATGTTAATGGGATCAGGGGCTTTTGTGAAGAAAATTTCTCTCTCACACTTTTCAACCACTGATTCAAACTATGAATGGAAAGCACCCAAAAAGTCATCTATGGGTAATGTTCAGTTTTCATCAGATTTTGATGATTTTGACTATAGCTCTTGGGACGCTATGTGCTATCTGGATCCTAGCAAGGCTGTTGAAGAGGATGATTTTGTAGTGGGCTTCTGGAATCCATCTGAAGAAAACTGTGGTGTTGATGTAGGAAAACAATCTATCTCGTACGACTTGCATACAGAGCAGTGTATTGCTGACAAAAGCATTGCCGACTGTGTGGAAGCACTGTTGGGCTGCTATCTGACCAGCTGTGGTGAAAGAGCTGCTCAGCTTTTCCTGTGTTCACTGGGGCTGAAGGTGCTCCCTGTAATTAAAAAGACTGATTGGGAAGGTACTTTGTGTGCTACCAGAGAGAATTGTAACAGTGAGCAGAAAAATCTTTCACCAAACTCTATTTCTGCTTCTGTAGCTAATTCAGAGCCTTGTTTGTATAAAGACCTGGAGTATGGCTGTTTGAAGATTCCACCGAGGTGTATGTTTGATCACCCAGATGCTGAAAAAACCCTAAATCATCTGATTTCTGGTTTTGAAAACTTTGAGAAGAAAATAAACTACAGTTTTAAGAACAAGGCTTATCTTCTTCAGGCATTTACTCATGCCTCATACCATTATAATACCATTACTGGTAAGTTGTCTAAAAGAAACCAGGTTGTAGGGCTTTTTCCTATTGTAAATGTAAGAGAAGCAGTATATGTTTTGTTCCCATGCGTAGTCTCTTTTTTAGAAATCATGTGGTACTTTAGGAAGTCAATAGCTTCTGAATACAAAATCTTAGAAAATATTACCTTGCCCCATATTCAGAGGGATATACTTGTTCAAATTGTGTCTCAATGATTATTCATATTTTGACTTGATACAAATAGAAGATTTACTGAAGCCTAACCAAGTTTTGGGAAAGGATTTTTCATCTCTGATGCTGTATCACTAGTTGTATATGACTGATATTAGATCCTCTTTTACCTGAAATAAGTTATCTTAGAACTCTTGAAAACTGCAGTGTAATTCTAGAAGTAGCGATCACGTTTTGCAAATATATGTAGAAAATTTGTCCCATAATTTAATCCCAATAATATTGCACTTTGACTCTACATCTGGAGATGAAAAGTAGAGTATACAATTTTTATAATAGTCTACAGAGTAGCAAAAGACAGAGACTTCTGTTTGAAATTCTGAGTTGGAAGGCTTGTTTTAAGTCTAAGCATTATATTGCATAAATATTTAAAGTCAAAATTGAAGTGATTGAATAAATCAGACTAAATATTAATTTCAACTTAACTGCTTAATGTTTCCGTACATGGTATCATAAAAGATTTCACAGCCATAAATGTCTGTATTTCTGTAATCCTCTTGAATTACTTTTGGTTATAGTAATTAATGTAGTATTCAGTCATTCTAGAACTTTAAGTATTTTCCTATGATAATATGCAATTAAAAATAAACCGTGGTAAAATTCCAACCCGATTTGAAGTGAATGGAAATTCCTGTGCAGTCAGCAGTGGAAATTTTTCCCTAGTGTGCTGGTTCCTTTTCCAAGGAGTAAGAAAGCTCTGCTTTAATGAAGAAGTCATTTTGAAATGTTACTACATTGTGATACAGTTCTGAAAAAACACTGAAATGCTGCTTTGGTTTTTCATTATGGGTGATGATATAAATAGTGTAAATTATATATATGTTTACTTTTGCAAATATTTCACAAAACATACAGAAGGTAGATGAATCCTTTTTATATATATATACTGACAAACAGGAACCTTAAGGCGTAGTGTCTAGATGGAATTATATTGGTTGGTAACAGAAGTTTTTTAATTCCATTTCTGTTTACCAAGTAAGACAATTGTGAATTGCTGTTACCTGTAACTTTAAGGAGTAGCAAGCAGTTGAGATATGGCATCATCTTAGGTTCAGCTGCTATAAAAGCAACTTAGTACTAGGCATTTCACTCTCATGTTACTTGAGTAATGATTTTGTCTTCCTTCCCTGTCTACTCACCTGTCCCTGTTGGCTTTCTGGAGGTTTTTATGCTTTTGTTTATATTTTAAAAATAGATCTCCTTAACTCTCCAGTTCCAAGTCCCCTTTCAATTTTCCAAATAGCAAAGGCTTGACAATTTTAATTTCCAGTTTAAAAGACACATTTTAAATGGGAATCTTTGCTGAATGCTTTTTGAGAAATCTAAATGTGTGGCAAATAAGATGAAAAATCTCAGATTTTGTTCACCCTGCTTTAAATAAATTGATTTCTCTGTTGGTTTTTTTTGAGGTTCAGTTGTTAACTATTTTCAGATCAGCCTGCTGGTGAAATATCTTCATTTTACTTTTTTGATGTTTCTCATTACAATGTGAAGATATTGAGTGAAAGCATTAATAGATTATAAACATAAGTGTCTTGCTAGCCTGAGAAATTAACATGGGATTTGACAGTGGCTTTATTATTAGATATAACTCCTGGTTTTCCCAATTTATTTTTTTTATTTTAATTTTTTTTCAACAATAGTCTCTTTAAACACAGAAATACCTGTTCTAAAAATCAGATTGTCTTCTGTGAGCACTGGTTAGTTTGTGAAATTTACATGGCAATGTACCAAATCTCCTATCCAGAATGGCCTGGAAGGAATCTTTGTGTTAAACTTAATTGTGTTTTTTTTTTTTTCTGTTTCCAATGCTTTAAGATTGTTACCAGCGCTTAGAATTCCTGGGAGATGCAATTTTGGACTACCTCATAACCAAGCACCTTTATGAAGACCCACGGCAACACTCTCCAGGAGTTCTTACTGACCTACGATCTGCTCTAGTCAATAATACCATTTTTGCATCATTAGCTGTAAAGTATGACTACCACAAGTACTTCAAAGCCGTCTCTCCTGAACTGTTTCATGTTATTGATGACTTTGTGCAGTTTCAAATGGAAAAGAATGAAATGCAAGGAATGGATTCTGAGGTTAGTGGAAGTAGAAGAAACATGATCAGTATCCAATTTGAAGCATGTTGCTCTGCTTCTTAGCGTGATGAGGATTTTTTTGTAATGTTTTAGTTTTAAGCACACAGCAGCCATAGAAGCAGGCTCCCAGTAATAGAAACATGCAATATGCAAAGTAAAATATATTCTTCAGAAAGTATAAAGTCAGTAAGAACTTTCTGAAAATAATTAAGTTGAAACTTGTTCTCCTTTAGATTTTTCTGTTATACTTGATTTTAATCACTTTGCTTTTGTGTTGTTGTTAGTGGGAGAAAAATGTGCTGGTGTGGGGGTAAAACAATTAGCTTACTTTCCACACTGACAGATTGGAAGCACTACTATATTACTATACTATAAAATTGTGATGAAGAGTTACTAAGTCACATAACGCTGACTTAAGATAGGCTATCCATGCAACATCATGAGCAGTGCTACCTTGGGATTATGTAATGTAGCACACTGACAGATTTCCACTGTCTCTCATCTGATGCTTTCTTTTGGAGCTGGTGTCATTGCACTGTTCTCAAGGATGTCTGACACGCCTGAAGGCTTTATCTTTGCTAGCCACGGAAGCATTTTAAATAAGTCGCTTGACAAGTAGTTCAATTGAAGACTTGCAAACACATATATTTTCTGTGGAGGAAATCTGTAGCTAATGAGCTTTATTTGCTGGAGAATAGACTAAAACTAACTCAATTTAGATAAGCTGTTCAGGAAATGTATGAGAGTAAGGGCCTTGTGAGTCACATTCTAATCAGAGTCCTGGAAGAGACTGACTTTCTCGTCCTTTTTTTGAAAGTGTTATCCCATAGATGTCCCTAATAGTTTGTCTTCTAAAAAATTGACCAATCTCTTAGAAAGTATTCTGTCTGAGAATACTTCAACACTAAATAAACGTTATCTTTGTCTTTAGTAGTTTCTTCTTTCTGATAAACAATTTAAAAGCTTGGGAATCAAAATGTTTCAGTTACATATATGGATGTTTACAGCCCTTGTACTGCTGCAGAGTGAAATCTGTATGTTTTATGCAAAGGTTCAGAAAACTTAGAGAAATTGGTCACTGAAATTTGGATCATGAGCTCTTAGAAGTTTTTTGCCTTTTTACTCATTTTTAAGAAAACAAGGCTGATTACGGAGTTTGATCCCCTAATATAAAATAATTTACATTATCTAAATTTCAGAATGTAACTTTTAGCTTTGTTCAGTTCTGCTAGTCTGCAAAAAGATTGTCTAGAATCTTCCACTGAAGTTGCAGCCGAATTGTGTGATAGCTGTTTCAAATAAAATTCTTGTTTCACTCTCCCTACGCCTGCTCCCTATCTTGGTCTGGCACTGAATTACTGAAAATCTTATTTCATCAGAGCTAATGCAAGAGTCTTTGTTTCTGCAGTTCATGCCAGCTAGACTGGTTTCCATGTGTGTCTCCACGTCATCTGCTTTTCTTTTTTGCAAATCTCGCTCCTGAAACATCTGTTGTCCCTTGCCTTTTAGCCCTTAGTCTCTCCTGTTATATTTCAGTATAACTCAAAAGTGCTTCAGTTTACACTTGTATGAAATATGGTATTCAAAACAGTTGAATTTGAGTTTTAACATCAAAACTCCTATTTGGAGTGTATACACATCAGCTCTGACTTTTTTGATTTGTTGTAGGTAGAAATACTGGATGGGGCTAGTTTATGAAGTATTATAGTGATTATTAAAAGGAGAGAATTGGATTTTAAACCCCAGATAGAAGCCAAATGGTGTAAAGGGGCAGCTGCTGGGAGAAAAGACTGGCAGAAACTTACTTGTCCTTAGGGTAATGGTCAAAACCTTGTTTTCAGGTTACTTTGGCCTTAGGTAAATGTATATTAGATATATTTAAAGTGTTTTTAGTAAAGAATTAGTTTAACTCAAGATCTTCAAGACATATAATGCAAGTTTAATTTTAATAATGAGAATATTGTTTTACATTAGTAGCATAGATAAAAACACTGCCTGCTACATTCCAAAAATACCGAACTATGCTTGTTGGTTCAGTCTAATGTTACTGGTTATCAGATATTAGAGGCTTATTTTACTAGTGCTTGTTTCATGCTTGTCTTCTAGGCTAAAGGACATAAGGAAAGGTACATCTGACTTTCATCTAGCGATGTGACTTTTTAGTCTCCTTCTAGAAGATGTTTAATGTGTGAAGTTTTCCTTTGCTATGAGTAGCTTTCTAGTATTAACTGATAGAGCCAAATATGTTTCTTATTGGAAAAAACAGACCTGTGGTAAAATCCTACAGAATTATTGAAAGAGGAATTCTCAAAGCATATCAGGTCTCTGTACACAGTGGTATTTTGGATTTTTTTTTTTCACATTTGTAAAATGATATATCCAGCAACTTGGTTTCATTGGCAAATAAAAGAACAATTTCACTGTGGAAAGTTGTCAATGAAAAACTTAAAGGAAGCAGCTCAAAATGTAAGAGAGCTTACATTTCTGAAGATTTTTATTTTATTTTAAAATAAATTGTTTTTCTCTTCTCCTCCCCTTCTCTCTTCCTCTCCTGCCCCCCTTGGCTTTTTGTAATTACAAACAGCTCAGAAGATCTGAAGAAGATGAAGAAAAAGAGGAAGACATTGAAGTACCAAAGGCCATGGGGGATATATTTGAGTCCCTTGCTGGTGCCATTTATATGGATAGTGGAATGTCTTTGGAAATGGTTTGGCAAGTGTACTATCCAATGATGAGGCCATTAATAGGTATTATCAGCTTTCAGAAAAAAAACACCTAATAATTAAGTGCCATCTGCTCTGAAGAGAAAAAAGCTAATTGTTTGGGTTGTTTTGGTTTTTTTTCAAACAGAAAAATTTTCTGCTAATGTGCCCCGTTCCCCAGTGCGAGAGCTATTGGAGATGGAGCCAGAGACAGCCAAATTTAGGTAAGAATGCACATCTTTGGTGCAGACTGCCATAAACTGTTTAAAGCTGCGCTCCATAAACTGCTGAGAATTTCTAAATGTCACAGATTACTTTTAATTTATTTTGCACTAATCACTTAAAATTCTCATTGTGTTCACTGATTTGTAATTTTTTTCTTTGCACAGCTTTCTGAGAAAAGTAATGGTTTCTGTTTAACTGTACTGCTTTAATGTCTGTAGAAAAAAATAACGTAGGTATCTTATTTCACCTTAACTTGCCTAAGCAGTAAGTAATTCTTGTGTGTATTTTTGCAGTCCTGCAGAAAGAACTTACGATGGAAAGGTCAGAGTAACAGTGGAAGTTGTAGGAAAGGGAAAGTTTAAAGGCGTTGGCAGAAGCTACAGGATTGCCAAATCTGCAGCTGCGAGAAGAGCACTACGAAGCCTCAAAGCAAATCAACCTCAGGTCCCAAACAGCTGAGACTCCTCTTAAAAATAAATGAAATAGGGGGGGGGAAACAAAACCACATACAAATAAAGTACATTTTTAAAAACGTTGATGTTGAGAGGAACAAATTGGAAGACAGAATTTAAAGTTTGTTTGATAACAGTGTAGGTAACAAAACATTTAACATGTATAAAATTTTGGAACTAATTGTAGTTATAGGTTTTTGCGCAAACACAATCTTGTCTTCTTTCCTCACTTCTGCTTTGTTTAATCACAAGAGTGCTTTAATGATGACGTTTAGCAAGTGTTCAGAATAATTGTTGTCAGGTCTTTTTGGTTTACTTTTATTGTCAGTACAGCTTTGCTTAGTGTTAGAAGGCCAGGGAGCTTATGCCTAATGCAGTTGCTAGATTTATATATAGTAATCTTGAAATTCTTCAATCTGTGCACTAGTGCCAGTCATAAAGCAGTTGATAAACTGTACTGGATGATTTGGTATAAGAAAGAATAAGTGTGCCAGTATTCTCCTTTTTTTTCTTTTTTTTTTTTTTTTTCTTCTCCATGTCATCTTTTTACATTAAGATGACATTCCCAATCATTATTGCACTTATTTGTTAGGGACAGATTTTAATTGAAATGGCTGGCATACTCGTAGAATGAAACTTCAGTTTCTTTATGCCACAGTCTTGCATAAAAAAAGGTTCTTGCCTTAAAAATAAATAAACCCTCATTAATAGTTTTTAATTTCTGATCTCTTTTGGAACAAACTGTTTTACATTCCCTTCATTTTGTTATGCATTTTACAATGATACAGCTCTATATTTGCAGTACAACTCATTACTATAGCTGTGACTTATTACATGATTATAATAGAAATTGTATTCATATATATGTAATTAGGTTATTTTTAACAATTCTGAGAAGGTGGTTAGTCTACAGTTTTTTTTATACCATAAACAAAATATGGTCCTTGGCTAAAATTCCGATTTTACACAAACCTGCAAGCTAGATAGTTCCAATACTGGAAACAGTAATAATTGCACAGTGCAAACTGTCACTCTAACAAAATAACCTTAGACATATCACACCTAAAATATGCTGCAGATTTTATAGTCAATTGGTTACATATTTAACAAACAGAGCACCTTTACACTTAGAAATATTTCCACATGAATTTCTTACTGTACTTTTCAGAGTTGCATGCATATTTCACCTACCAAAGCTGTGCTGTTAAATAACATGAAAGATGATGTTTGAGATATAACTGCCGTACTTTTGATACATCTGTGATTTAGGTCCTTAATTTAGAGAAACTAGCTCATTGGTGTTTTGGTCTACTGGGGGTGGGGGGGGAAATAATACTTTTATTTTTTAGGCTTTGCCTATACTTCTTTAATTAGATTTTTGTAGGCACTCTTCACTTAAATACCTCAGTTCTTTTTTTTCTTTTTCCTTTTTATTTTTTGCATGCATTGTTTTTTCTGTTTTGGTGCTATGTTTATATATTATGCTTGAAATTTTAATTTTTTTGCACTGTAACTATAATACCTCTTAATTTACCTTTAAAAAAAGCTGTGGGTCTCGTATTCCCACCAATATCAGTAGAGGTTTGCTGCAATTTTGCCCTGTTAATTATGCTTGAAGTTTGAGAAAGCAGAGCAAGTTGTTTTAACGTTTTCCAGCACAATAGTTTAAACTTGATGCTGTGTCTTATGAATTAAATTACAAATAAATACTGTATTTCCTGCTTTTATACCCTATTTCTTTCCTCATAAATGCACACTAAAACAAAATGAAACTGTCAGCTCTTGCTTTCTTAACAAAAAAATAAAAGAAATGCCTTAGTGACAAGGGGTAGACATTAAGCTTTTCTGAAATACAGTTTTCAAAAGTTCATATATTTTCTATCTCAGCCATTTTTCATTCTGCAAAAAGGACCATTCTTGCATTTGAAAGCAGCATTGTTATAGTGGTCAGACAGAGAATTTAAGTACCAGCTTACACAAAATTCTAGCATTTGTTTGGTACTTCAGACACGGAAGTGTTGCAGGGAAGTAGGTAGAAGACCTGCAAGTCTTGATGTGTATAAAATAAAATGTAAATGAGATGGAACAGTAAAATCATGCAGTCTAGATTTTCAAAGGTAAATTTTTTTGAGTTAACTGTTTGGGAAAAAAAAAAAGTCACCAATTTAAATTATAGCTTTTTGTTTGTTGTAGGAGTGAAGTTTCTTAGAGAAAATACATGGTCCCTAATGTTGGCAGTTCCGTGTTTCTGGCCAAACACCAATCAGCAGATAAAAGTCAGACGATCTTTAAAGTCTTAAGTAGTTTTAACTGCATTATGAAAAATTAAAATGTGTTGGTCTTAGAATGCCTAAAATTTTATACTGTTTTTATGAGATAATAGATTCTCAGGGGTTTCAGCTGACTGTTAGCAGTAAAGTGCTACAGAGTGTTTTGATGCAAAGAAAATGAACTGAACTTGCTCTGTGTTTCAGAATGGTTTAATGATCACTTTGTTACTAGTTAAAGCCTATGAATTGGAGATCTGAAATGTGTAGTGGCTGACTATAAAGTAGTTTCTGCTGCTGAAGCGTTTTTAAATGTGTTTTAAATACCGTAATTTTTTCCAGTGTGACCTCATTAAAATATTTTTTTATCCTTTGAGATAGAAAATTCATGTTAGTTCCCATGTTATTACATCTGTGTGTTTTACCCTACAGCTGATACGATTTTGATATTGGACAGTGTATGCTATTAAAGACCTAAATCTGATCATTTGAAGGTTGGGATAGAAATCACTTGACGTGCTATAAGCACAAGTGGAAGTGGACTGTTGCAACCCATCTTCAAAAGCAACCACACAGGCTCATCATAAATAGTGTGGGGGTTAGTTGGCATGAACCTTGTTTTTGTTTTTTGTTTTTTGGGTTTGTGGGGGTTAGTTGGCATGAACCTTGTTTTTTTGTTTTTTGGGGTTTTTTTTAATCTAAGTCCTGTTATACTGTACTTTAAACAGTCCTCCTAACTATGCTGCGTTTTTATTTTTATGGCTTTTTTTTTGCGCTGTTCTGTTCATGTAGCACAAATAAGCATTGCACTTGGTACCATGCTTTACCTCATTTCAAGGAAAAAATGCTTAACAGAGAGAAAAATGTGGTTTGGCCTTGCTGCTGTTCTGATTTACTGAATTTGAAAAAGATAATTATAATGCCTGCAATGTGTCATTTACTTGCACAACTTAAATAGGTCATTTGTAATGTCTGTGGCATTTTTACTGTATGTGGAAAAATACAACAAAGATGTGTAACAACTCTTGATTGCATTTTAAAGCTATTGTTTTTGTACATCGTTTTACTGTTATGTGAAGTAGTTCACATTAGAATGACCTCTGACACTCCAATAATTATCTCTGAACAAACCATCATATTATGCATATATTGTAGTTTTTGCGAGAAGACAGCCCCTCATAATTTGGTCACCTGAAACTCAGTCTCTGCTCAATGTGAGTATTGAGTGCTCAGAAGTGACTTCCGAAGTGTTTGTTTAGCTTGATGCTGCTAAGGTGCATATAGAAAAAAAGCCTACTCTTCTGAAATGTCATTGCACAATACTATGTTGTGACTGCAGAGTACAGAACTTGGACAGGAATCAATTTCCTTGGTGGGGAGGAATGTAGCGGTGGTGCAGGGATGAGGTGCCAGATCCTCAGCAGGTGCAAATTAATGTGGTATCATTTTAATCAATGGAACTGCATTCTTTTACATACCTGAAGATCTTGTGCTTATATGTATGTTACAGAGTTCAGGTTTTCCTCCTCGCAAGCAAGTACAAAACCATAAACTGAAAACTGTCTTGCTGCATATGACATAATGCTGTTACATGCATTTATCTATATAGAAAGTGAAATCTTTATATCCCAGTCACAGCAGCACACATAATCCAAAAATGACAAATAGTACCATGGTCTGCTGTGATACTGCACTTGCCTATGTCTGACAGACAGTATTCTGGATATGTGTATTTTAGGTGGGATTCCCTACAAAAAAGTTTCCATGAAAATATCTGTATTTATTACATCAGTGAAGCAAAGAGTTTGATTTTTGGTACTTAATTACTGACATTGATCCTTTTCCAATTACTCTATTTTTCAATAATTTAATTTCATTACTTTCGTATTAGGTTTAAAACTTCATGATCATGAAATGTAATCTAAATATCATTTGTAACTCAATCTGAATTATGCTAGCAAGTATCTAGAGGTCATTGTAGTATACTCCACTAGCAGTTAAAAATAACTTCTGTCAAAGCTAACTACATTTCTTAAGAGTAAATTTTATCCAGTTAAATCCTTGGGTTTTTTCCCCTCTTTTATTTGAATGGCAACCACAGACTACTTTAATTGCTTTGTAGATGCACTCAGAATTTACTGCAGCAGCAAGTTGGAGAGAAAAATGTTTGTGAACAAGAATTGGAAGTTGCAGGCATTTTTATTGTAAATAGTTTGACTGAAAAGATGGTTGAAATCTAGTAGAATGAATAACATATAATTTGATGGACAATAAAATACTTACCATCACATGCTGCAGCTGTCTTTAAGGGACATAAAATGTAATTCATTCATACTGTAATCATGCTGCAGAAGTTTGCAATCTGCACCTTATGGATCACAATTACCTTTAATAGTTTTTTGTAATAATTGTAGCTAAGTATATCTCCAATAAAGTTATGGTCTGTTCACCTTGCGTTGTCTTTTTGCTTTTGTTTTCAGTCCATCTTCATCTGTCCATAAATCTTATAGGAGTTTGCAAGAAATTACTACACAGTCTAAATAAGAAAAAATATTTTGGGAAGACATTATTTCTTGACCTCGTTTAAAGACAAGTCTGCCTGTCTCGTTTCTCTGATGAATGAACTGTCTTCATAGCTATGTGAAGACTCTTAAGGGACACTCAAGTTAAAAATGATGATGTACATGCTACAATTTGATCTCTGTGTTGACCATTATACCTGCAAAATTTCTGTTGGAGCTGGGAGGCCCCAGGGCACAAAGGTTCAGTAACAAAAGTTTGCACAGTTCAGCCATGTTTTAAGTATAACTAGTTAATATTTGCTAATGGTCTCAACGTTAGTAACATTGATTTTAATTATTTTGTTTTCTGTTAGTATTTCATTTATCCTGCATATTGAAAGCATGTTTGTAGAGTGTTCTGTCTGGCACACTAGTGTCATGTCTCTGTTTTACAGAGATGAGACAGACCTGCTAGTCAAAGATCAGGAGTTTTCCTTTTGAAAACTTCCCAATGTAGCAGATGATTTATTGGCATCTCCTGTGAGCAACTTCTACTACATGTTTTGTCTTAGGTTATAGAGAAAAGCTTGCTGAACTGCTGGTAGGCATGGTGGTAACTACTTCTGGGGCTTTGAGGAAGATTGAATCACCGAAAACTTTCAATGGTCTCAGTTTATTTCTTGTCTCTGTGGTAATGAAGCAAGTATTTCAACTGAGAATCCAGGGAAAGTTATGGTTCCTCCATGAATTTCTAGCTGTTTTTGTCCCTGAATGTGTTCCACCTGACACTGATAATGCTGATAGGTAAAGCCATTTAAGCTCCAACATGTAGACCAGTCAGCTGTAGCAGGGGATAACACAGCTTTCACCCCCCAAGTTCTAGTGAGTCATATTG